AGATATGCTTACTCAGCTTTACCGCTGAGCGTGTAGTGTGTTTTATTTGCTACACGCAGGTAAACAGAAAACACAATGTGATCCTGGCGGCAGATGGGGCGATATTGTCGGGATGGATGTGACAAGTTTTGAAACAATTTATGATATGTCAATATTAAAGTCGCTTCCGCAATATTGTTGAATACCCCGTACTGTATATGTTATGAAAAATATTACTGTGATAAATAAAAGTGTTTGAAAAGTTTTAAATTTTTACGATTATGAAGTTAAATACTTTAGTCCGAAAGTCAACTAAAATTACACTTTTCTTAATTTGACCCAAAGTCAAAATGAGAATGGTTTTAAGGAACGGAGGAAATATATATAGTTAGATAAGAAAAGCAATTTCATTATGAGCAATGCTAGGGGTACACCAAAGGTGAGGTGTACCCCATTTGTTTCCCACCCCTTTCTCCATCATTCATTTTTACTCCATTTTTATTTATTTAATTTTTTTTTAAATATCTTACCCATTTTTGTGGTAATGGAGGGGGTGAGGGACAAATAGGGTACACATTTGGTGTATCCCGAGCATTTTTCTTTCATTATACTCCGTAGATGAACAAGATACAGGAAAAAACAAAGAGCAATGCTAGGGGTACACCAAAGGTGTACCCCAATTGTACACCACATGCTTCTCCACCACACATCTTTATTTGATTTTTATTTTTTTAATTTTTTTTGAATCTCTTGCCAATTATTGTGGACAAGGAGGGGGTGGAGGACAATTGGGGTACACCGTACCCCTAGCATTTTTCAAAAACAAACATGAGGGGTTGGGCCGCCCCACAAAAGCCCAAACCAAAAGGAAGAAAAGGATGTAAGAGACTCGAATTTTGCATGTCATTCACTAATGAAAACAATGTTAATACGGACTTACAGAGTATGTACAATACCTGGGCGGAGCCAGGGTGCAAATTTTGGGGGTCCAACATGGGATAGAGATTGAAAACAATGTTAATACGGACTTACGGAGTATGTACAATACCAGGGCGGAGCCAGGGTGCAAATTTTGGGGGTCCAACATGGGATAGAGATTGATCTTAACTTTTGTTAATTATCATTATATTCTCCCTCCGTCCTCCATAGATTTTTCCAATAGCCCTTTTTCTTTGTCCACAATAGATCTTCTCATTTCATTTTTTAACAATTAAAATACCACAACTACCCTCACTTACTTTATTTATTACACTTCACCCACCTCATTTAATACACTCCACCCATTTTCATTAAGGTTATTATGGTAAACTTTCACCTTTTTTCAACTCTCCTTAAAAATCACCAAAAGTCAAAATGAGAACATCTTAGGGGGACGGAGGGAGTATAAAATAATAATTAGGAATTGTTTCTTTTGAAACTTAATAGCATTACTTTAATACGGAGTAGTATTTTTGGACTTATAAGTCATGTTCTTTATTACACATACAAAGGCCTTGAATTGAAGAGTAAAAAAATTTTGACAATGTACACGTAGGATTCTAAATTAACCGAATATTTTTTATTCGATTCATGATTCGTATTCGAATTAGGTCATTCATATTCGAATTAGGTGATTCGTATTTGATTTTTTCACCTAATTCCACCCCACAAGTTGATTTTGACTTTGGAGTCAAAAATTGGCTTGAACTGTGAAAGTTTCTGACTTTCTGTGTGCCATACAATATACATTGTTTGTAATCTACAGCAATCCGCTCTTGTTTGAAGCGTAATTTCCGCTGTGCACTTTGATTGTAAGTTTTTGACTTGTAAAAACTTGAATTTGAAATAATTCAAGTTTGGATTGAAATCTAAAGTCTTGTAAAATCAAGACTTCGGTGGAAAATATTAGAGTTTTGTAAAATCAAGTTATCGAGCTATAATTAGATTGTCAAACTCCGTTAAGTTTGACGAAGTTAGTGGAATCTCGAGCACATTTGCTTCGGGGACAGGACGTAGGTATTAAGCTGACCTAGAATATATCGGTGCTTCGAATATCTCTTTTATTTTGTTTATCTTCTTGGTTGATTGTGTGCTTCTACGATTTTTGGCGCCGCAAAAAACTCTATTTTTCAAGAATGCTTCTATTCACCACACTTCTAGAGGTGTGCAAGGCATTTAACAAATACATCTGCTAACAATTTTACACCTGAAAATGCCCTTGTATAATTATCATACTCCATATTATGTAATTCATCTATCTTACATACTTTTCAAATAATGTGCAAAATTCTATTATTTTTAATTTTATTCTAGTTACAAATTTGTATTGCATCCGTCCCACACTATTTTAGTTACAATTCAGAGGATGCTTTGGACCAAACAACCAAGTCTAAAAGCTACTTCCCCGGGCTTTCCGGATTTTGATAGTACTTACTAAAAATGATATCACCCCATCATATATCTCATTTCATTCAACTTTTTATGGCTTCCAATGCATTACTTTGATAATTAGTATCTACAGAGTATATTATAAACTACATATTCTGTATAAAAATATGATATTTTTAAACTATGTTTCAAAATTGATTGATATTAAATTTATATCATAGTTCAATATTATATAAAAGTATTATACATTTTATAAATTATAAAGATAATATGAGAAACGGAGAATATACAATTATAAATGAGTGATATGAGATGAGATTCTCCGTAATGTTAAAATTTAGGAGATTAATGGTAGATTTGTATAGATTTTATACCCATTCGATCGTTCCTACTTATCCACTTATTTAGTTGTGGTCCAATTTTAGAATCGTCGATCGATTTTGGTTCTGAGCTAAAACCCTATCCATGTGTATGTGGAAATGTGGAACTCTAGCTGGTGAAGCGTAGCTCAGCGGTTTAGATAGGGGTGCTACAAAGAAAAGATTCCGAATTCGATGTTTGGCGGCTGCGACGAGAAGCAATCATGTAAAGCTTGGTGTTTCTGCAAGTATCAAGTACGGAATCTCATCCTTACACAAACTGAGAATTAGAACTTTGACATCTAAAAATATTGTTATGGGTCAAAAAGCAAAAAAAAAACTTCATAATTCTTAAAATGTTTTCCTCCATTACAAAAAAAGATGTCTCACATCTTTATTCACATGATCAAACCATATTTTTTTTTGCTCTGTAAATATTTTTTATTCATTATTTAACAAAATAAAATAGTCATTTCATTTTTATTTTATAAACTTTTTAATTGATTTTTTATTACATAATTTTTTAGGTTTTACACTAATTTTAAAATAAATTAAATTCAAAATACAACCAATTGGACATTGTAATTTGTAAGTTGAACTAAGAATTTTTTTGGGATGATGGTGCATGATTTATGAATGACTAATGTTAGAAGTACACCAAAAATGTACTTTATTTGTACATCACCAAACTCCTCACCCTACATTTCTTATTAACTTTTCTATCTTCATATCCACATCAAAAGTGTGTGGTAGAGAGCGTATTGGTGTACATATGTGGTTTACCCTTTGGATAAATCAAGCACTTTTTGTTAATAAATAGAGGTGTGTTAGGGGTACCTCAACTTTATGCCCAAATTTGTACACCATGTTATAATAGACATATCCTCTATCTATCCTTAATTTGATTACAAATTTGGAGTTACGAGATAAAATCTTTCGTCTTTTGAGATTACTTTATTTACTAATTGGTATAACAACAACAACAACTCAATAGAATCCCATAAAAGTAGGGTTTGAGGAGGGTGTGCGTACACAGACTTTATCCCTACTAAAAGTAGAGAGGCCGTTTCTAAGAGACCCAAGCTAAAATAGCACAAATATCAAGTAGCACGACAAGAGGACAAAGTACACTAAGGGGTGAGTGAAAAAATGATAAGGCATAAGGTACCTAGAAAATTGGAAGAAGAAATACATCAAGTTAACTGTTAACACAACACATAACAACAAGTACAAAACTAGCACCCTAGTCTAAACTACTATCCAACTATTCTAATCCTAGATCTCGACATCCCTATCTAAGGCCATATCCTCGTTAAAGCCCCTGCTAACCACCTCCTTCTAATTCTTCCACCTAACCACCTCCTTCTAATTCTTCCTACCCCCAAACCTTCCAACTATCGAAAGTCTCTCGCATATCCGCACCGGGGCCTCAGATGCAAACCTTTTCACATGATCAAACTATCTCAACCTAACCTCTTGTAGCTTAGCCTCCGTCGAAGCCTCTCCCACCCATCTATGAATAACCTCACATGATCAAACTATCCAACCTTGTTTGCCCACACATCCACCGTAGCATCCACATTTCTGCTGCATGTAATAAACAAAAACTACATCCACTATTGGTACATCATGAACAAAAAAATTCTCACTTTCTTTTTTCATTCGTCCACAAATATACTTTTCTGTTTCTATTTTAGGTAAACTTTTATTTGTAGGTCTGCGATGGGAGGGGGGAGGGGGGGGGGGGTTGAAACGATGAGGGTTTGCAACGACGGGGGTTTTCAACGGTGGGAGGGTTTGGAGGGGGGTCGGTGATAAGAACTAGATAGGTCGTTGGTAGTGCTGTCGAAGAGTGGTCGACGATGAAGACGGAGAGTCGCCGTGGGCGATGGCAGTAAAGATAGATGGCTCATGGGAGTGGAGAGGGCATATAGGGCTCGAGGTATAAATATGTGTGCCTGATAAAATCGAGAAGTTTTTTTATGGACAGAGGGAGTACTAAAAAACTACGAAGTATGTCAAGATTTCTACAAAATGAGAGATGATAAGAATATTTTATTTTATCAAATATTTAATAAAAATATATAAATAACTAAAAGTTATCAAGATGATAAAGAAAAAAAATAATCTATTATAGGACGGAAGAGTATAAATAATTACTCTATCACTCTATGCATGGGGTGCAATTTAGGATACAAAGTTAAAATATCTCTAACTTTTTTTCTTAATATACTCCGTACTCCATAATCCATATACTCGTACTTAGACATTCTAAATTTCTAATATTCGTTCCCAAACGAGGCCCAAAAGTTGCAGAGTGTTTTTAACAACTTGCCCTGTCAAACCCTCTGCTCTGTCATTCCATAGTTCAAACTCCAAAAACATCCTCCGGCCACCAATCCCTTTAAACTTTCCGGCGATTCATCTTCGTTCTCGGAGGAGCAGCCCCCAACCAATCGTCACCATGACTTGCGCTTCTCAGGTCATCCGTCACTGCAGAAAGGTAATTCTTCAACGACTTAGAATGTTTCGATTTCTCAATTTCGCCCTCGTCAATCATTTCGCCTGAGATGCGTTTTAAGAGGTTTCTGTAGATCTCGATCCATGTTTAAACGGTATAGCGGATAGAAATTTAATTTAGATTTATTTTTTGGTTTTGTTTATGGTAAATGAATGTTTGTGATTTAGAAGAATCGTATGGCATTATCTTATATTTATTGATTGATGTTTCAAAGCATCTAAATTAAGGAAATCGATGATAAATTAATCAGCAACCGGCAAAGTTTCTCATCTTGTTTGATTGTGTCCACGATTTGTGCTCTAAATGAGAATATTTAACTAGCTGTTTGCTTTTTCATGCAGATAAGGAGCACTCCCACTTTGATCAAGCATGATTGTGGAGTATCTGTTCGTTTCTACAGAAGTGACACAAGGCTCTTGACCAGTGAAAGAGATGGTAAGTTTATCTGAAATGTGTAATTTCTATATGTATGTGAATTGTTCATTTAGTACTCAGGGTTCCATGTCTTCTGCTACTGAGTATCTTGCTTTTTTTATGTTAGTGTGACCATTCTGCAGTGTATGCAAACTTGAAAATTATGAGTTCGTGTATAATGTAGTAGTACCGGTCTATAATTGTTTCCTTTTAATATGTTCTCATATGATGTACAATGTAACAAGCTATGGCCCTTGTGAAATGCTTCATTTTGTCAGACTTGTGCAAGTTATGATAATTTCCTGTTGCATATTGATTTCTGAGTTTTTTCATTTGATAATATATGGATTGTGGATATTTACTAATAAATAATCAGCATATACTAATTGTTGCTAGCGATATGTTATTAACTGGGCAAGTAATCTGTACTTTGCATACGAATTGTTTTGTTCTAATGTAAAACAGCACCGACTTAAACAGGACAATGCCTCCTCATGTTATGACAAAAATTAATAGCTGGACTGATATTGATTCTATTACGTAGGACACAAAATTATGCCAATTTAAATTTGAAATAGCCATAGGTACTTGACATTAGGGTACAAGTATGCTAAACTGCAATGTGGTATGCTAAACTACAACCACAAATTTAGTGTATTCCCACAAGTGTGGTCTGGGGAGGGTAGGAAGTACACAGTCCTTACCTCTACGCTTGAAGGAGTTGAAGGGTAGAAAGCTTGTTTCTGAAAGAACTAATCTGTTGACTTTTTTAAAAAAATATATCTCCTAGCAATTCTGTTGTTCCACAGATATTTCAAGGATAAGGCAGTCCCATTTTGTAACCGGTGACAATCAGAGTGTTTTGAAATCATCCCAACAGTCTAGATCAAGCATCAGGGAGTTCAACATGTCTAGAACAGTGAGTCCTGTTACGGTGATTTCTCATCTTATTTTTATTTGTCATCTTCCTTCCAGAATAGTGCTATCCAATTGAGCACATTGTGTGCATTGATTCTCTCCTTTCTATTCTACTGTAATTGAAATTAAAACCACTAATTCCTAAAGTTGATTTAGGTATCACTATTGAGGAGACCAAAGGAAGACATATCAGTGGCTGGCATGTTGCAGAGCAGAGTGTCTCCATGGTTTGTTGTTTTTTTCTCCGTGTCACACAGTATTAATCTACTCATTCAACTTACAAGTTTTTCATGTTGTATATGTCAGTTCCCAGATGCATTTGAGAAGGGGGTTTTCCGCTAATGCCGGTGAGGCTACTGTTTTATTATTCTAGAAATCCATACTTCATCAAGTTTACTTCCCTCCCTTATGATTTTTTGGGTTGTTAAATTAGCCTTAAGTCTTTTGTGCATATTGAAAGCATGCAATCATTTGGCTACACCTGTATAGGTTTGTCAGTAAACCCTGTTGTCCTTGACAGTTCATTTCTTGGTTATTTATTTATCTGTAACATTGTTGTAATTAATGTATTAAACTCATAAGCTTGCTAGTATCCACAGTCAATAGGTCCTAAAGAGTGAATGCAATTTTTTCTCCACAGGGGCTTTCTTCATAATCTTAATTAGTATAATTAGGATTATTTTTTTGCAAAAAAGTGAATTTTGAAGATAAGACAATGACCAAGAATAATATATGAACAGCTAGGAAATAATATATAACCAGCTAGGAAGTAGTGTAGATCTGTGTAAAAATAATGCAACTTGAAGCTACTTTAACCTCCAATTGATATATCTAACTCACAAAAACTCATAATATTTGTGCAATATCAAAATCAACCAAGGATTAAACTGCTGAGAAATGCTAGTAAATGGGAGGTATGATAGGAAACTTGAGCACTTAAAATAAATACATCTGTTTGTGGATGTACAAGCAGTACAGCATATATCGTATTGATATACTTCTGTGATCGAAACAGAGCTATTGCATCATGTGTGTTTTTTTCATTTTGCTGATATTTTCATCTAATTGTGCATGATGGCAACTTTCTCTTTGTATTCAGATCTTCCTCCACACCAAGAAATAGGGATGCCGTCTCTTTCACCAACAATGACAGAGGCATGCATTTTCCTCAAAGCACAATAGTAGTAAATCTCCCTGCAGGGATTGCCTCATAAACTGTTGGATTTGTTCTACAGGGAAATATTGCTCGGTGGTTGAAGAAAGAGGGTGACAAAATATCTCCTGGAGAAGTACTCTGTGAAGTTGAAACAGTAGGATCCATCTTACATGATATATGATTGCACTGATAATGGTGAACCTTCTTCATATTTGGGTGTGTAAATATGGTATCTATTTGTCCTATTTGATACATAGGATAAAGCAACTGTGGAGATGGAATGTATGGAAGAGGGATATCTTGCCAAGATCCTGCGTGGGGATGGAGCTAATGGGATTCAAGTTGGTGAGGTATTACTGTCATCTTTTGGAGTGTCGCTTGAATTTTTTTCCTCTATGTTTTATTTTACACTCCTTGCATCCTATAACTATCTTCCTACTTTCTTATTTGTATTGTCCCAAAATTTTCTTCTTTCTTTTTAAGGAAAAAGATGAGTGGTCATTATCATGTCTCTTTCCTCTACACAAATCACACCCACACAAATTTCACTTTATTAAAATATCCGATCGTATTCATGCAGGTAATTGCTGTAACTGTTGAAGAAGAAGAGGATGTCGCAAAGTTTAAAGATTACCAGCATTCAACATCAGATGCTGCACCCGCACCAAAAGACCCTTCGCCACCACCTCCTCCCAAAGAAAAGGTTGCCACGGAACCTGCCCCATCAGAACCAAAAGTTTTAAAACAAAGTACACCTTCATCGGACCGCACATTTGCTAGTCCTCTTGCCAGGAAACTAGCTGAAGATCACAAGGTACACATTCTATGGCCTCTCTTTCAGATAGTGCTATGATATTACATTTCAGGACTGGGTTTGTGCAATGGTCTAGTAGTTTTGCACTGATTTTGGTGTAAGCATTTTTTTAGGTACCCCTATCGAATCTTAAAGGAACTGGTCTTGATGGACGCATTGTCAAGGCTGATATTGAAGATTACCTTGGTAAATTTTTATGTTTTTTCTCTTATAATCCATGAATATTTATACAAACTTTTTATGCTATTACATGTCTTTGCACCATGTTTCAGTGCATTTTTTGCTATTAATAGTGAATGTGTTTTCAGTGTTATTATTTGGCTGCAATATCTTTTCCTGTGATAGAACCAATGAGCAGTCATTTTTGCTTAATCTTGTATTTGTGTAGCTTCTCAAGGGAAGGAAGCTCCATCAGCGGTGCCCAAGGTTGAGGCAGGTTTGGATTACACTGATATTCCACATTCACAGATAAGAAAGGTAATGTTTACTGCACAGTATATTCAATTAGTTTTTCAAATATTTAGCTTCGAGGAACAACATAACATTCAAGTGCAAACATTATTCATTTTTTTTTTATTTGCATCGAGTTCAACATCACATGCCTTTTCATAACCCCTGTATTAATTCTGACAGGTTACAGCTGCGCGCTTGTTGCTCTCAAAACAAACAATCCCCCATTATTATTTGACTGTAGATACATGTGTCGACAAGCTGATGGAGTGAGTTCTTATTATACCCTTCTGAAGATATATCACGCTGCATGCCCTTTTGTATATCATGATTTCTTGATTATTTTTTTTCCAGATTACGATCAAAGCTTAATGCATTACAAGAAGCTTCTGGTGGGAAAAAGATATCTGTCAATGATCTTGTAATCAAGGTATGAAATAGCCACAGCACAAAGTGTTCATACTTAATACCATTTCTGTTATTCTTTTGTTCTCAAATCTTAAGGCTCTGCTTTAATTGCAGAAAACAATTAGGTGCTTTGAAAATATTCTTTTACAAGATATGTTGTTCTATGTATATTATACTTCACAATGTTCAACTCACAAAGATTGAAAGATAAAACTTTTACACAAAATGAAACTTTTTATAACAAAAAAGAGAAGTAATTTCAACCAAAATTCAAAGAACCAAGGAACATATTTACCCATGGGAAAGGGTTTTCTGTCTCCAAACCTAGGAAAATCTTGCCTGGACACAAAGCAGATCCTTTAGAGCCGAATTTAATTGCGTGAAATTTTAATTTCTGATTACAATCCACCTGTGTTAACCCTTTGTTTTAGGCTGTTGCTTTGGCTCTACGGAAAGTTCCTCAATGCAACAGTTCGTGGACCAATGAATGCATCCGCCAGTGAGTTCATGTGTAAATTCAGACATTATCTATGTTCTTCACTTGAAAATTAAATTATATCTAAATGTGCTTCTTGGGCTAATGCAGGTATCACAATGTCAACATCAATGTTGCAGTACAGACGGACAATGGCCTCTATGTACCAGTTGTTAGGGTTTGTGATTGAACAATTTATGCTCTCTGTTAATATTTCCATGCTTTCTGACTTGTAAATAAATTTAAATTTAAAAATGTTATGCTTTGCAGGATGCTGATAAGAAAGGCTTATCCACCATCGCAGAAGAAGTGAAGCATTTAGCTCAGAAAGCAAGAGATAATAGCTTGAAGCCATCCGATTATGAGGTTGATCTATCATTTAGTGTGCTGAAGATAATAGGGATTGTTTGGTAGCCATACTCAGCTTATTATCTGCAGAATAAGTGAATATGCTATGAGTAGCACTTCCAAAAGTGTTACCAAATGCACATGGCCCTTGTGATTACCCTCGATAAAGAAGTGTTACGGGATCCTGCCACTTACGCATTTTGTGACATTTCGTGCCATTTTTTTGTACTTATAGCAGCCAGAATAAGCAACTTTTAATTTGCTTATTTGGCTGAAATGGATGTTACTGTAGACATTTACTTTCTTGCGCAGATTCTGTTAGCATTTCAGCCAAATGACTTTTCCCAAACATGCCCATAGTATGTCTGGGTAGGTAATTGTTCGGCTCAAGTCCATTTACCGCTTGACAATTTGATTGCAGGGTGGCACTTTCACTGTTTCCAATTTAGGCGGGCCGTTTGGCATTAAACAATTTTGTGCCATTGTTAATCCTCCTCAGTCTGCCATTCTAGCAGTTGGATCTGGTAACATACCATTTCACTTCACCTTATGTTTAAAAAGGAGTAAAAAAAGGTCATTATGTCTAACATCTTTTGTTTAAGCAGCTGAGAAAAGGGTTGTACCGGGGTCTGGTACTGACCAATATAAGTTTGCCTCTTTGATGTCTGTGACACTGAGTTGTGATCATCGTGTTATTGATGGTAAGCTTTTCATTCTGTATTCTTTGATAATTGCACACTTAATGATTACTCTTTTACAATCTCTGGACCAAACGTGACGTGCTCATCAATTATTGTCTTTTTACAAAAATACTTTCTTTAGGTGCAATTGGTGCCGAATGGCTTAAAGCATTTAAAGGCTACATCGAGAACCCCGAGTCTATGTTGCTGTAGTAAATTGGAGCTCACCTTTTCCAGTCCTCTCCTTTTCAAGCTAAAAACTACATCCATTCACAACGGCAAGTTTGCTGTATTTGCCTGATTTTATTATCATAGTAGTTTACTGTACATGACCCCCATCCCCACCCCACCAAGCAATTGGCTGATTTCGTTTCGACAAATAAGGGGTGTGACAATTGAAGGCACCCACGAACAATTGGATTTTGCAGGGTAGTATTGTGGTATTCTTTTTCTTACCAAAAATCAAGTTGATAATAACTGTCCCTTTGATACTGGCAAAGACCTCATAGTTTAATCATTGAAGTTTGCGGGTATATTCATTAAGGAGCCAAAGTATTACACAATGCTCTTTTGTATTGGGGAACGAATTGTCACCAAATGTTCGTGTTTCGTCAAGTCCATCAATACAATGTGCCTCGGGCTTTGCCTATTTTGTCCTCAAATGGAGACAGACTGTGTAGGGTGTAAAGAGTTGGGTTTCATCCACTCCCCTTTAGAGCATAGTATGCTGTGCAGCGAAACCAGTGGGAAAACAGGGGCTTCAACCAATTTGGTCCAATATGTGGTGTTGTCCTCATGCATTCTTCTGGCTAACAGAATATGTCACAAAAACCTCTGTCAGATTCGATAAATTTTAATTATTTGGTCTTGATAATAAGCTCCAAAAGAAAAGTTTATAAAAAAAAATTCGGACAATAGGACTTAAACATAGGAGATTTACACGAATAGGACCATTTTTAGTTTTTGTATGAATACAACTTAAATGATCTTGTCTTGGCACATCTCATTTTTTAAGGACACTTTTACCCTTCCTCCTTCCTACCCCTCCCGTTTCTTCTTTGTTTCTTTCCTCATTTTGGTTGGGGAGCGTGGCTCTGCTAGTAAGTTAAGGGGTGTGGAGGTGGTAAGTTATCGAGTTCGTTTCCTAACAATTACGTTGAGAGACAATAGTACTAAGAATAGGATCCCTGCAAGTTTCAGATACATGTCTTGCCTTTTGCTAGTAAGTTTGTAATTAAAGTTAAATTTATCTCTTCTTAGGTAATTGTTCTGCTGGTTTTGAGGCATGGAGCCCATTTTTTTTCTTTACTCTGTTCTTTCTTTCTCTGGTTTCTTCTATTTTCTTTCTTTTGCTTCTTGTTTTCTATTACTCCATATCTTTACGACATTTTTCTTCTTTCATTACACCATTGTCACCTCTCGTATACTAATATTGTCTGTTACAACAATAACGCCATCAACATTACTGACTTGATGTTATAACCACCATGATGGGAAGTATAAAGGAAAAAATAAATTTGAGAAACGAAAAGGAGAGAGAAAGAAGACAAAATACATCCGATGCGGGAGTGACCAGTGGCATAGATTTGTGGTGGTAGTGTGGTAAAGTAGTGACGGATATAGGGGAGGAGGTGGTGGGCTGGTGGCGGTGGTGTAAAGAAAAAAAGAAGAAAGAAACTAAAGGGAGATGAGATGGTGAAGAAGAAGAATGAAAGAGCAGAAATGGAGAGACAAAGAAAAAGAAACGAGGGTAATTTAGGATTTTTTTACTTTTAGCCTCACGTTTGAATTAGGTCCTATTTGTGTATATAGAAGCAATCTTTTAGTTTTATTTGTGTAACTTTTTGAAAGTTTTATTTAAACTAGTCTTTTCGAAACCGATTTGTGTCGGAACCGAAGTGAATGCGTGGGGACCAACATTCAAAACATCAAAACCAACCAAATGCACACGTTTTGAAAGTCAACTACTTGAACTAGCCTTTTCTAAACCCCCAAAACCCTGCTCCAACAACCTATAGTTGCACGCTTTAAGCTCGAGGAGTCCGGATCGTCGGATTGTAGTAGAGATGAGCTAAATGATGGGATTAGTTAAGACCAGATCAGTCTCTTGAAAAGACCAATATTATTTACGATGAGATTAGTTTAGACTTATTTATAAAAAGAATTGGTGTGCAATTCAGACTAGTTTGGTCTTTAAAAAGAATAGGAATCTTTTGGAACCATGAAGTTCGGTTAGGACCAATCCAAATTCTGTCGCGTCCTTATTTTTAATACTATAAAAGATTTTTTTATTTTTTGTTCATTAAAAAATAAAAACAAAAATAAATTTTTTACTTTTGGTTATTTAATTTTTTATTTCTATACCTTTTGATTTATATTAACGATTTATGTAACATAAATACTCCCTTCATCTAAGTGTATTTGTCTAGTTTGACTTTTTTAGTCAAATTACATAAATTTTGATCTTCAATTAGATAAAAACCATAATGTATATTTGTATAAAAATAACTTTATTAGATTTATCTTGTTGAGAACTGTAAAACTTTATCTTATTATCCTAATATGCAATGCAAACTGAGAGTAATTGAGTTTTTAAGTTTGTCTAATTGGTACTCAATTTTCAAACAATAGGAGGCACTCATGCTCATTTATGGTTTTTTTAAATCTCTTTTTAGTTTTTTTCTTTGTTTCCTTTTCCTATAAAAGTTTTTAAAAATTATTTTCAATTTTTTATTATGTTTTAAAAAATTCTAAATTCTTTGTGTTTGAAATAAAAATAAAAAATTAACATATACTCTATCTATCTCAAATTAAACACTTTCTCTTTTTATTTTTTAGAATAATTTTTTTTGGTAAATTAAAAAAAAAGAGCTCCAAAATAAAAAATAAAAATAAAAATATAGAAAAAAGAAACTAAACAAATTGAAACATGCAAAAAAGAGTCTTATACAAAAAGGAAATTTCAGAACACCTAAAAAAGTCCTTAGAATTGAAATGTCCAAAAATCTTTTTTATTCCTCATTTTGTGAAGTTTTCAATAAAAAAGTTTTTACTTTTTTATTTTCGAAAAAAGAAATAAAAATTATTAATTTGAGACATAGAGGTGCAGTATATGTTATTTTTTTCAAACAAAAATAACTTTAAATTTTAAAAAACATTATAAAATAATTTTAAAAATAAATTTTAAAAATCTTGATAAATAAAAGAAACAAATAAAAGAAAAAAGGGGGAAAACAAAAAAATATGAAGTGAGCACCAATGACACATATAGTTTGGAAAATAAGCACCAACACTCCCTTCTTTGCGAGAAATATGGTCGGGAAATGATTAGAGGAGCTATGAGTGCAACATTTTGAAACTACGAAAACTTTAGAAATAAGTTTTGAAAACAGGGGAGGTATTGATACCTATATTCCAAAGTATGGGGAGTATTGGTGCTATTTGACTATGTTACCGACCGTATTAATGAATATTACCGGTATTTCCCTTTCTGCATTTTTCTCTATCTCTACTTTTTATTTTATTTAATTATTATTTGAAAAAATGCCACCAAAAGAAGATATGCCTTTTATTGTGAATTAACTTAGTGATACACCAAAATAGAGTACTCTATTTGTACACTAAACTTTCACAAGACATACACAGACACAATGTATATACGTACATAGTTATTACGTGTCTGTGTATACCTGTGGAAGCTTGGTGAGTTGGTTAACAAATGGAGTTCTTCTTTTTGATGTACCTATAACATTATTCTTTTGTTTTAGCTGTCTAGGTAGCCCCAACACTTTACAAACTTTCTTTACTGAAAATTGAAAAAGGAGAAAACCATAATAATAATAATAATAATAATAATAATAATATTAATAATAATAATAATAATATTAATAATAATATTAATAATAATAATAGTAATTATAATAGTAATAGTAATAATAGTAATAGTAATAATAATAATAATAATAATAATAGTAATAATAATAATAATAGTAATAATAATAATAATAATAATAATAATAATAATAATAATAATAATAATAATAATTCGTTATGGTTGAGTATGAGATTTTAAATCGTACTGATCCCGAAATATCAATTCGTTATGGTTCGGTATCACTTTTAATTTGGTAAATCTAAAATGTAACAAAACTTTTTTTTAAAATCTAAAATACATTTAAATAAAGAAACAAAAAAACTAAAAAATGAATAATTAAATGCAAGAAATACTTATAAAATTTAGTTAATTTGAGATAATTTTACAACCTAAAGAGAATGAATAATAACAAAATGGCACTATGTATTTAAAATTTTTGTTAATATTTTTCTATATTCATCTATAAAAAAATTAAAACTTGAATAAAAGTATAATTTACATATAAATAAATTTGAAGCAAATTTTCAAAATAAATATATTATTTAAAGAAAAAATATAAAAATAATTACTTTATAATATATTAATAAATATGTTTGGTTCGGACTTTCGATATGTGAAGTTACCTCGTATCGTTCCAAATACCATACCGACTGTTTGGTTTGGTTTGATTTTTTGCGATATTTTTTGAACCGCTATTCCTGATTTTTTAGAGAAATTTAGGGATATGATTGGTTCAGTTCTTGCTCACCATACTTGTTTGGATCATTTCATCAATTTTCTATTCTCTTTGGGTCTTGATTTAATTTAGTTTTGGTTATGGTTTATGTTCATGTTCACCTCCTGATGGATGGCTAATACTATGTTCCATAGAATATGGTTGATCCAATCGAAGTACGATTAATTTTTTCTTTGAATTTTAAATGTATTTTGTCTTCGCATATTAAGCACAACATATTCCGCCATTTCAGGAAAACTGCTTGAATCGCTTAAAAAATACTACCTCCTGTTGAAACACGGGCTTGTCACGTTTTCATACTAAAGCCGTGTTCGTTTTTGTAACAGGTTTTGATAATGCGAAACCGCCGTGATCAAGACAAACATTGAATATACAAGGCGAAGAACGAAGATAAAGAACAAGAGCTAAAAGAGACCAAGAACGAAGACCGCAGTCTTTAGTATTGTTGAGTCGGTCATAATTGTAATCAAGACCGACCCAACCCTCACGCATTGGCTCTTTAGGCTAAAATCTTTTATCACATCATAAAAATTCTTTTCAAACATGTTTAAGTCATTAAAAATACTTGGTGTTCGACCAAACCAAAAACCAAGCCATCCAGTGTTCGGCTTTCAGAAACCAGCGTTCGGCTTTCGGTTATCGGCTTTGGTTTTTGGCATCCAAACCAACCAAGTGGTTTTCAGCATTTTATGGTCTGCTTTCACTCTTTGGCATGTTTAAACGGTTCTCCAACAAAAACACTTTGAAAACCATCTTTCGTTTTTGGTCGTTTGACAAAAACCACGCAAAACGGCGTAAACTTGACTAGCCGTGGTTTTTACTCAAATGACGTGGTTTTTAAAGTAACTCACTTGATTTCTTAGACAAATACATCAAATGAGTGTTTCCAACACTTGGTTTTTATTTTTGGAGAACTTTGGATTTTTCGGTCGGTTTTTGCATCGGTTGGCTAGGCCGTGGTTAAGGCAAAGACCATGGGTTTTTGGCTAACCAACCACCCAGCGATGGGAAGATCTTCCCATCGATGGGTAAGCAGTCCCTAAGCCAAACCAACTCCCAGAACCATGCCAAACAGCGATGGGGAGTTCCACCCATCGCTGTTAAAGCCTTGGTGCAACATTATCACAAGGCAGAACAACCTTGCCCAGCGATGGGAAACCTATCCCATCGATGGGAACCCAGCGATGGTAAGGTTAAACCATCGATGGGAAGGCATGACCGTTGGTAGTCATTTAAGGTTGATTCTTTCCTTGTTTGGAAGTCAACCTCCCACCTAGCGATGGGAAGCATCTACCCATCGATGGGTAGGTAACCGTTGGCTTCAAAACTGAAGGAAAATTGGCTTACCAGCGATGGGTAAGTTCCAAACATCGATGAGAAGCCAATATCCTGCAGATCCCAAATTTATTCAATCCCATAAATCAAGTCAATCACCCCTTTAATGCATTGGTCCGTTGGAGCCTATTTTGGCACTATAAAAAGGGGTGTTTGGGTCTGCTTTACACACCAATTCACTTCACAACATTCATACTTTCATTGCATTCAAATATTATCATTTTCCATATAGCTTTCTAGAGCCATTTTTGTGTGAAGGTTGAGTTGTTCTTGAGCGTACTTAGTTTACTCATAATCTACTCTATAAGAGAGTCTCGTTCTTGAGTGTATTCGTGTTCTTAGACACTTTGAGAGAAAGTATTTCTCTCGGTAGATTCAAAGTAAGGGCTGCTTTCTTTGAAGGATTCGTTGAGGTTCGTGTGACTCGAATTCTCAAGTTGTAACGGTTTGTTAAGCACCCGCAAGCTTAACGAGATAGTAGTGTAGCTCGAGAGAGTCTCTCGGGAGGCTGGATTAGGCACAAGTTGTGGTGAACCAGGGTAAAATTCGGTGTGCCTCTTACTCTTCTCTTTACTTCTCTTTTGATTTTTTAAATCCTGCGATTTCTACGGACAAACGCTATTCATCCCCCCTCTAGCGTTGGTATTTTATTCTAACAATTGGTATTAGAGCCTAACTCGCGTCCAAACTTAACCGTTTCAGAGTAAAGCGATCATGGGTTCTTCTTCTAGAAATCTTTATGCAGGAATTGGAGAAGGTCAATCAACCTCTAGGCCACCGCNCACTGCAAAAGAAATGTGGGACAAGCTGGAGGTCACATATGAAGGTACGGACCAAGTTCGGGAAGCCAAAATTGACTTCCTAACGCAGGAGTACGAGATGTTCAGGATGAAGGAAGGCGAAAAGATCGATGATATGTTCGATCGGTTTTCAAAGATCATCAACGACCTTCATGCACTCAAGAAGACTTACGCTAACAAGGATCTTGTGAGGAAAATCCTGAGGAGTCTCACTCCCGAATGGAGATCAAAGGCTGACGCAATCTACGAATCCATCGGAGTCTCCAACGTCACTATCGACGGGTTTAGAGGTAACCTCAAAACTTATGAATCTACTATTCTAACCCCGTCTTTGGATGAACAAAAGAAGAAGGGAATATCACTGAAAGCAACCAAGGCGACCGTGGAAGTTGACTCAAGCGATGATGACAACGAGTTCGGACTTGTCATCAAGAAATTTCACAAATTCATGAAGAAGGAATTTGAACGGAAAGGAAGAAAGCACGACGGTCCCCCAAAGTGCTATGGCTGCGGCGAGATAGGCCACATCAAGCCAAGATGTCCAAAAGGCAAAAGCGGCAAGGACAAACCTGGCTTCAAAAAGCAACGAGCCTATATCTCATGGGGTGGCGACTCTGGCGACGAGTCAACTGATCAAGAAGAGGAGGAAGCCGCCAACCTCTGCCTCATGGCACACGAAGACCACGCCGAAGAAATACAAGAGGTATGTACCCCTTCTTCTGACTCTTACACTCTTGAAGAGATGCAATAAGCTCTTCGAGAACTTTATGATGAATTTGTTAACGCTTCTAAAACCAACAAATCACTAAAGAAACGTCTTTCAACCCTTGAAAATGATTTTGAAAATTTGGAAAAAGATAATGAAAAATTGAAACAAGAAAACAAATTTTATGGCAAATGAAGCGCTGACAAACCAGAAAGTTCTTCAAGTGAATGTGAATCTTGCAAAACTTTAAAATAAAAGGTTGCAAAACTTGAGAGTACGGTTAAGAAGTTTAGTACACCACACAAAGATCTTAATTTACTCCTAGACACTATGCATTTTTCTAAGGAAGGAATAGGTTTTGATAAAAATGAATCTAAGGGCAAAAACGTTGAGCAAACACCTAGACAACCTCCTAAGGCTCAGCATAACAAAGTTAAAAATCAGGAAAATAGAAAATCTAGTCAACCTAGGGACACTAGACAACCTAGACAAAAACCTAGGAGTGAAAATGTGCATGCTAGACAACCTAGGAAAAATCATCAAAATGATTTTGTGCATAAAAATAATTTTTCAAATAGACAAAATAATTCTAGGACACCTAGAAGGGAAAATTTTCAAAAACCAATGTTTTCTCAAAATAGGATGAATATGGTTAGGCCCTCTAGCAACTATTATCAACCTAGGAGGATGCACAACCCAAACGTAGTTTGCCATTATTACAATGGGGTAGGACATATAGCTCCCGTGTGTTTTACCAGACATAGGAACTCCACCTATAATGAAACACACAACATTTTTGGTGCTAACAAAAAGAAATCCTTTGGAAAAGGATATTCGTATCATAAACAATCTCCACAGGATAATGCACAAAAGAAACCGTATTATTTCTTCTACTTTGACGAAAAGAAGAAAGTCCACATTCCGTTACCGGAACCAACACAAACCACACCGAGATATCGGCACTCCGTTCAGGTAGACTGGAACCCGCCAACCACGAGACAATGAGTTGGCCAAGGTAACTCCTAAACAATCATTTAATTGTGTGTGTGTGTGCGCGCGAATTTTGGGTGTGTGTGTGGGCAATAAATGTCAACTAACCCCTAAGGACCCATAGACATACTTTGGGTACCAAAGTGTTATTCTTTTTTTGTAGGGACGGTTCGAAGTGAAGAATTCTGGAAATCAGGGGGAACCAGCGATGGGTGGGCTACACCATCGCTGGGAGGGAAGTTTTCTTTTTCCAGAACCCCTCTTCCCATCGATGGGAACTTTCTCCCATCGATGGGCGATTGACTCTATTTAAAAAAAAATACTTAACGGTTTTCCAGAACACCTCAACCCATCGATGGGTATTTTATCCCATCGCTGGGTGAAGGACTTTTTGTAAAAAATTTTTTTTTACAGAACCTCCCTACCCATCGATGGAACTTCTTCCCATCGCTGGGTGTTTGACATTTTTTTAAAAAATTTTTTAACGGATTTCCAGTAGCTGTCTTCCCATGGATGGGAGAACCTTACCATCGCTGGGAAGGCTGCCTTCACTTTTTCCTCCCTTTCCAGTACCTGTCTTCCCATCGATAGGAGAACCTAACCATCGCTGGGAAGCCTGTCGCAGTTCAAAAATCATAGCCGTTGGGCACCTCATTCAATGCCCAACAGCCATATTTTTTTAACACCAAGGGCCCAAATTCTCTTTTCCTATAAATATTAACCATCCTTGGTCATTTTTAACACACAATTTACATTCCTTCTTCGTACTTTAAGCCTCTACTCACTTTCTAAACGCTTCAACAATGGACAGAGGAAAGTCAAGGACAAAAACCAAGGCTTCAAAGAAGAAGGCCAACACCGACGCCACGACCTCTTCTTTATTTTCTTCTTATTAAATATGATTGTATTTTTATCCGTTGTATTCCGCATTTCCCTTTTAATAAATAAAAGTTTACCTTTAACTTTTTTTTGTTAATGTCAAAAGGGAGAAGATATTTAGGTTATGCATAAATTGAGGGGGAATTTTTTAAAACAAATGTCATCTTTTAAGGGGGAACACTTTTTAAAAGTTTCAAAATTATCCTCCTATGCATAACCTCGTCTCGTTTGCCATTATCAAAAAGGGGGAAATTGTTGAAACACGGGCTTGTCACGTTTTCATACTAAAGCCGTGTTCGTTTTTGTAACAGGTTTTGATAATGCCAAACCGCCGTGATCAAGACAAACATTGAATATACAAGGCGAAGAACGAAGATAAAGAACAAGAGCTAAAAGAGATCAAGAACGAAGACCGCAGTCTTTAGTATTGTTGAGTCGGTCATAATTGTAATCAAGACCGACCCAACCCTCATGCATTGGCTCTTTAGGCTAAAATATTTTATCACATCATAAAAATGCTTTTCAAACATGTTTAAGTCATTAAAAATACTTGGTGTTCGCCCAAACAAAAAACCAAGCCATCCAGTGTTCGGCTTTCAGAAACCAGCGTTCGGCTTTCGGTTATCGGCTTTGGTTTTTGGCATCCGAACCAACCAAGTGGTTTTCAGCATTTTATGGTCTGCTTTCACTCTTTGGCATGTTTAAACGGTTCTCCAACAAAAACAATTTGAAAACCATCTTTCGTTTTTGGTCGTTTGACAAAAACCACGCAAAACGGCGTAAACTTGACTAGCCGTGGTTTTTACTCAAATGACGTGGTTTTTAAAGTAACTCACTTTATTTCTTAGCCAAATACATCAAATAAGTGTTTCAAATACTTGGTTTTTATTTTTGGAGAACTTTGGATTTTTCGGTCGGTTTTTGCATCGGTTGGCTAGGCCGTGGTTAAGGCAAAGACCATGGGTTTTTGGCTAACCAACCACCCAGCGATGGGAAGATCTTCCCATCGATGGGTAAGCAGTCCCTAAGCCAAACCAACTCCCAGAACCATGCCAAACAGCGATGGGGAGTTCCACCCATCGCTGTTAAAGCCTTGGTGCAACATTATCACAAGGCAGAACAACCTTGCCCAGCGATGGGAAACCTATCCCATCGATGGGAACCCAGCGATGGTAAGGTTAAACCATCGATGGGAAGGCATGACCGTTGGTAGTCATTTAAGGTTGATTCTTTCCTTGTTTGGAAGTCAACCTCCCACCCAGCGATGGGAAGCATCTACCCATCGATGGGTAGGTAACCGTTGGCTTCAAAACTGAAGGAAAATTGGCTTACCAGCGATGGGTAAGTTCCAAACATCGATGAGAAGCCAATATCCTGCAGATCCCAAATTTATTCAATTCCATAAATCAAGCCAATCACTCCTTTAATGCATTGGTCCGTTGGAGCCTATTTTTGCACTATAAAAAGGGGTGTTTGGGTCTGCTTTACACACCAATTCACTTCACAACATTCATACTTTCATTGCATTCAAATATTATCATTTTCCATATAGCTTTCTAGAGCCATTTTTGTGTGAAGGTTGAGTTGTTCTTGAGCGTACTTAGTTTACTCATAATCTACTCTATAAGAGAGTCTCGTTCTTGAGTGTATTCGTGTTCTTAGACACTTTGAGAGAAAGTATTTCTCTCGGTAGATTCAAAGGAAGGGCTGCTTCCTTTGAAGGATTCGTTGAGGTTCGTGTGACTCGAATTCTCAAGTTGTAACGGTTTGTTAAGCACCCGCAAGCTTAACGAGATAGTAGTGTAGCTCGAGAGAGTCTCTCGGGAGGCTGGATTAGGCACAAGTTGTGGTGAACCAGGGTAAAATTCGGTGTGCCTCTTACTCTTCTCTTTACTTCTCTTTTGATTTTTTAAATCCTGCGATTTCTACGGTCAAACGCTATTCACCCCCCTCTAGCGTTGATCTTTTATTCTAACACCTCCGTCCCATAAAGATGGGTACGTTGATGGGAGAAGGATCTTGATAAGGACGCCTAAGGATATTATAATGATATTTTAGCACGCCTAAAAATAAAATATCATTGTTTTAGCACGCCTTAAAAAATACTACCTCCGTCCCATAAGGATCTTGATGCTCCTGACTTTTGGCACGCCTTGAGGACCTCCCTGCCGTGGGGCTGCCACCGCCGTGGTACTCTTATCATTAAAATATCCTTAGGCGTAAAATATGTTTAGGCGTCCCGTGGTACTCTTATGATTATAATATCCTTAGGCGTAAAAATAAAATAGCCCAAGGGCGGGAAACATTGGCCCGTAAAGAAGTACCTGAGTGTGTTGCGCCACTAACTGCTTGGGACTTGGGAGAAGGATCTTGATGCTCGTGACGTTGAAGGGCCAATCACGGCAGGGAGGTCCTTCTCCCAAGGCGTGCTAAAATAATGATATTTTAATTTTCTTTATATATTTTGCCTAATATTCAAAAATATTAAAATGAATTTTTTTCACGACACGTACTCTGTAGTAGAATTATTTCTATTTTTAAATGTTAAGAATCTTAGTGAAAGAAATAAAGAAATCTTTTAATTCATATTTACTCTTTTAATTAAGGAATATATACTCCTTAGAACTAATATGTGTCAAAATAGGTTCTTCCTTGGTTGGTTGATAGCTTGGTATAACAACTAATAGGTTGAGGGTTCGAACCTTACTGGAGAAATAAATATTTTGGCCAAATTTGCAAAAATACGGTTTTAAAAATGAATTATTTGTAAAGTTGTCTGTTTTAAATAAAAATTAGGTTTTTGGGTAGATCTTGTAAAATAGTGACCAACGGTATAAAGTTTATTAAATTTGGACATATGTGTAAAGCGTGATGAGTAAAATAGACATTACAGTTCAATAAATAAATATAAAGATTTTATAATATTGAATAGTATAAAACCGGTTCGAACTGGTTCAATGCGCGATGCGGTCCAAAGGGTTAAAAAAACTAGTTCGACCAGGTGAACCGGCCGGTTCTTACCGATTCACACCGGTTCGAACTGGTTCAATGCGCGATGCGGTCCAAAGGGCCAGACCGGACCGGTTTGACCTCCAGTTCGCCGGTTCCTGGTCCGAACCGGCCGTCCGGTCCGGTTTTTGAAACTTTGATAATAACAAAACGTTGATTTCCTAAAAACTACCCTAAAACCCAATCCTACCCGTAAAAGGGATTCCCAAAACCCTTCCCCACCACTACTATATAATATATATACGTATATATACACAACATAACACACGCACAAAAAGAGAGAAAAATAAAAAGAAAACCCGCACGGGTAGCCCAAGTGGCAAGCACTTGGTGAAGTTTGGAGAATGACCAAGGATCGAAACCTGGCAGCGACCGTTGTGGAGGCGACCACCTCTGAAAAATGGGGGGAGTCTCTGGTGCGCACTAGGATATGGTCTAGCTAAGTGTTGTGCTTGGGTCACCGTGATTTACGTCCTCTCACATTCCCATCGGGTCGGGGGTGAGGGGCGCCCGGGGTGAGCGATTTCACCTTTTGGAGAAAAATAAAAAGAAAGAAAAGATAACGACAGAGCGAAACAGAAGCAGAGCAGAGAACACGAGAACAGAGCCGGGCAGCGGAAGAGGAGCACTACCGCCGCCGTTTTGATGCCGATTCACCGCTACCGATTCATCGGAATTTATTTGTCAATTTGATTTGTTTTATTCGTCAAACAACCTAGGTGATTAAGTGGACATCTAACGCTAGATTATGTATATAGATTTGAAATTCACGTTCGTAGTTTCGTATGATTGATTACGTGATTTATTTGTTACTAATTGAATTATGATCCTAAATTATGATTTATTGAAATTATGAATCGATGGAGAACGAGGTACATTTTCTACTCCCAATTACGTGGTTATGTATATCATTAGCCCTACAGATGTTATATTATTGTTAATTCACAAATCAACGAAGTATGCCTTATCTCTGCTGGAATTCCGGACCAACTGTAAACTAAACGAACCATGCGGTACCAAGGTAACGATCGACGGTATCGAGGTACCGTACCCCAATCCCGTGAGTCGTACTACTGCCTAGCGGTACCGAGGTACCGTACCGCTAGTAGAAATCTCGTTATTTGTTTGTTTGTTCCGATTTGAATCCTGTATTGATCCCATTGTCTTATATGTTGCATGACGGTAAGTGAAGGTTGTTCACACCGACATTAGGCCGCTATTCGGATTGCATGATGATTTATTTAGCTATTTCTATTCTTATGATTTATTATAAATATAATGTGATATGTCTTGTACGGATAAAATATACTGAGTTTGTTGATAGTTGGGATCTGAATAATTTAATTAGTTTAATGACATAGGTTACCTAGAAGAACTCTAGGACTACTTTGAGATAATTGAGATTGTATGTTGACAATAGGTGTCGAGCCTCGTGGACTTAGTCTAGTGGCATTCAGGTAAAGATGTACGTACATGGAATCTGAGATCTGATTTGTATGATTGGAGGTTCCACCCAACTGGCGCCGTAGGTACTGGGTTGACCAGAATCATGGTCGTAGGTAGTGGTTCTGATGTCATAGAATATACTTTGAGTCATGGCCGTAGGTACTGGCTCTAAGTCCTAAGATAAGAATGTGGATAATGAGGAATCGGCCTTAGCCTAGTATAGGTTATGAGCTAGTATTTGATATGAGTTTTTTTTGTATGAACTTGAATGTTGAATTGATAACTTACACAACTGAAAATTCAAGGTAAGTGATCTAAAGTATGATTGTTATAACGTAGTCGTTTTACTTGATGAATGTTATGTGTTATTATTACTGTTAAACTTGTGTGCATGATATTGTATGAAGTTATGAGCTAGTGGGTTCGTCTATGTGCATAGTCAAAACGTTAGATATTTCTCACTTAACTTCAACGCTGAGCATGTAGTGCTTTTTCCTTTTTGCTACACGTAGGTAAAAGGAACGATGAATAAGGAAACTATCTTAGAGGGCAGTGAGGGCAAAGAGATGGATGGATGCTGGCTGGAGGATTTTATTATCTAATATTAAGTTTGGATTACTATATTTTAAGGGCAAGAACTCAAAGTTGTATTTGGATTAAGTACTTAAAGGCTTCCGCACCTTTTTGTTAACTCCGATGAATGTTTTAAATAATGTTTGAATTAAATGTTTTAAAATTATTGAAAATTATTGTGTCTGAATACCAATTTAGTAACAACCCAGTTCGCTGGTCCTTGAATTCGGGTCACGCGGGTTGGGGTGTTACAGGAGAGGTCCTTGCCATTCTTCAAAGTCTTAAAGAAGGTAAATGCATTTGAAGAACTCAAGGAGTACCTAGTGTAAGATATTGTACTGTCAAAACCAGAACCAGGTGAAACTTTGTATCTGTACCTAGGAATTTCCCCAAATGCTATAAGTTCTATTTTAATAAGAGATGATGGGGCACAAAAGCCCATTTATTACGTGAGCAAGGCACTAAATGGAGCTGAAAGTAGATACACGGCGATGGAAAAGACAGCATATGCACTTTTCATCACCGCCAAGAAGTTAACATCAAACTTTTAAGCTCACCCGGTAGAAGTCCTAACAGACCAACCACTTGGTGCATTGTTGCGAAATTCAACATCCTCCGGGAGGATGGTGAAATGAGCAATGATCTTAACTCAATTCAACATCGAATACCGGCCAAGATCAGCAATCAAGGGTCAAGCCCTTGCGGATTTCCTGGTAGAGATGACCGATTTAGCTCCCGATCTACCAGTCAACCAACTCATAGAGCAATGGTGGGAGATGGCTATAGATGGGGCATCCGGCCCGAAGGGGTATGGAGGAGGCGTGGTGTTCACTACCCCAGAAGGATTCAAGATTTACCACGCGCTCGTCTTCAACTTCAAGTTAACAAACAACGAAGCTGAATTGAGGCTCTCGCCGAAGGACTTCAACTTGCCCAAGCTCTTAAAATCAACCGCATTAGTATCAAATCTGACTCCAATCTGATTGTGGGCAAGTAACGGGTAACATGGAGACAAGGGAAGGGCGAATGGCACAGTACAAAGGCTTAGTGCTGGCCCTATTGAAAGGATTCAGAGAATTCAAGATAGCCCAAATCCCCCGGGTGGAAAACGCGAATGCAGATCTCCTTTTAAAATTGAAGCAGTCCGCACCGGAGCATGTTTCAAAGCTTGCCCGGGTAGAAACCCTTGACCGAGCTAGCATTAAAAAATTGGAAATTTCAATCATTGAAGTAGCCGGACAATCTGACCGGTCAAGTGCTAGCACGGTCGGAGCAGATGATCATTGGATGGACGGTCTCTTGAAGTACTTGGTGGATGGATGTCTACCAGAATAAGAAGACTAGGTGTGAAAAGTTAAGCTCAGAGCACCCCGGTTCCAGGTTATAGATGACATGTTATACAAAAGGGCTTTCGGAGGACCAATTCTGAAATGCCTAACTAACTGGGAAGCAGAGTGGGTAATCGCCGAAGTCCATGAGGGGGTATGTACGACACACCAAATGTCTCACACGCTATCCCTACACATCATATAATTGGGATACTACTGGCCCACGATTGTCCAAGATTGTTATAGGTATGTTCAAAGATGTAGAACATGCCAAGTCTTTTATAAGCACCCGGGTAGGCCGGCGACTTATTAAGATCCCGTATCGAACGTCATCCCATTCGCTCGATTAGGAGTTGATATCATCGGGGCGTTCCCAATAGCCCAAGGAAGGAAGAAATTCATAATCGTGGCCATCGATTACTTCACGAAATGGATTGAAGCTGAGGCGTTGGTGAACATCACCATGCAACAATGTAAAAAATTCATTTGGAAGAATATCATCACAAGATTCGGTGCCCCCATGAATCTTGTCACTGACAATGGCCCGCAATTTAGAAATCCAAAATTCACCGAGTATTCGGAGAGTTTTGGGATAAAACACAATCGTTCGTCGGTAGCATACCCCCAAGGGAATAGCGAGGTAGAGAATGCCAATAGGACGATTGTGGATGGTTTGAAGAAACGGTTGGGCGAAGCGGGGAATAAATGGTTGGAAGAGCTCCCACACATCCTATTGGCATACCGCGTAACACCCAGGAGGGCTAATAAGTCGATTTTGGGTTAGTTCTTTTTATTGTTTTTTAGGCATTTTTATTCTTTTTAGAGTTCAATTTTTAGTTGTTTAGGTTAGTTTTATTTTAAATTTTAGTTTTGTAATCTTTTAATTTTCTTTTATAATTAGTAGATTTTTAATCATTTTTTTCACTCTATTATTTTTATTTATTTTTCTTAATCCAAATTATCAGATATCTTATTTGTGGTGAAAAGTGTAGCAAAAGGCCAAAACGGAATTCAAGTTTGAAAAGAAGAGATTGAATTTGGGCGAGAGCCCAAACCCAATATAATAGAAAATCAGCCATTCCTCCATCTCATTTTTTGGTCAGCAACGAAAAAAAAGAGAGAGAAAAGAAATCATCGGCTCCTTCTTCCGCGACTATGTAACGGCAATCGATTGAAGTAAAGCAATTCTCTACGGGAAAGAAATTCAACGACAAGTGGTTCTCCTTGTTATAAATTGAAGATGAATTGCAGCAATTGGAGGGGGGGAACATCGACGGGAATAAAGCAGCGGCTTGGCCGCTGCTATGGCGGTGACCGGCGAGTCAGTCCGGCGTCGGGCGGCAGTAGCTCCGGGCAGAGGTTTTGGTGGTTCTTTCAAGCTCCAATTCCTCAATTTGTTCATCTTCTTCAACAATTGGTAACCCTTATTTGGCAATTTTTATTTTTTCCTCCAATTTTAGGTAAAAATTTGTTTTTTTATTCAATTTTTACATCTTTGTTTGCTTGTGTTATTTCGAAAATTCTAAAAAATGGTTGGTGTTCTTTTTTGGGTTTTTTGGTTGGGATTCCTCCAAGTCCCACACCGGATGGAGAAGTAAAAATGGACAAAAAATATATAGGTTCACCCAACCCCATTAGTAGGAGGCTTTTTGGGAGGTGCCCAAAAACAAATCCGTGAGGGCTTGGCCCAGAGCGGACAATATCATACTAATGCGGGGTTGGGGTGAGGGCACGCGCAGTCCCAACATGTGGTATCAGAGCCCAGGTTCTTGCGGGCGGTAGTAGCGGACTGTGCAGTGTGGAAAAATCTCGGTGTGGCGGTGTAACTAGGACCAAGACAAAGAAAGAGGATCTGCAGGTAGTGCCTTGTTTCGAAAGTCTTCCCGACGAGAGGAGGTCGGGCGGCGCGTCCCGTGAAGTTATAGCCACGGCGGTACAAGATGATTTGGCGGATCAAATGATGTAGCCCAGCGAAGGAAAGATCTGCGGTTCGAGCCTTGCGTCGAAAGTCTTCCCGACAGGAGGTCGGGTGGCATGTCCCGCAAAGAGTGTGCGGCGGTGCAAGATGGTTAGCAGATAAAGAGAAAAAAAAAGGGGGGATTACCGCTGGAGGGGAGGTCAGAAGTTGTATGGTCCTTAGATGAGGGGAAGTTTGTTGGGATTCCTCCAAGTCCCACACCGGAAGTATATGAGTAAATGAACCAAAATATATAGGTTCATCCAACCCCATTAGTATGAGGCCTTTTGGAAGGTGCCCAAAAACAAATCCGTGAGGACTTGGCCCACAGCGGACAATATCATACTAATGCAGGGTTGGGGTGAGGGCACGCGCAGTTCCAACATGTGGTATCAGAGCCCAGGTTCTTGCGGTTGTCTAAGCTCAAAAACAATTTTTGATTTATTGAAAACATGTTGTGTTCATTTATGTGAATAGAAAAAATGTCATTGGTTTGAGAAGTTCATGGAAATATGTGAAATGTGCTCATCATTAGGAGAAAAAGTTTATTAAAGTGCATAAGGTATTGGCAATTTGTGAGTAGATTGTGCATGGGAGTTGAATGAAAAAAAATTCGCTCTTTTATATACTTTTTCTATAGTGGAAGCATGTCTTCATGCTTGAATAGAGAGTAGGGGTTTTAAGTTATATTTCAAAACGGGCCTTTGAATTGCATGACTCCGGGCCGTGTGGAGAGTTGACAATCCTCCATATCGTGGTTAAGGAAATGAATCGACTCGGCCTTTGATTGATTTTTCCTATTCTTAAGTGCGTAAGTTACGTAATATATCATCTACGTGCCTATTATACGTGTAATGTTCGGCTTGTGTTTGTTCTCTTTTTCATTTTTCGGGTTCTTGGCAGTGTTTTTTTGGGTTACCTAAGTTGGACAAGTTGAATACCTTTAGAGCTTGTTTTCCCCCATTTTATCAAAAATACCAAAAAAAAAAAATAAGAAAAATAAAAAACCAAAAAAATATTTACTTTTTATTCAGCTCCACCCCTTCTTGTTTTGGTTTATAATATGTCTTTTTACTAAGTTATACTATTAGTGTTTGTTTATAAGTTATAAATATAAGTTCTTTATACTATATTCTTAGTATATTTTTAGTATGTGTTTAGTGTTTTTAGTTATATTATAGGTTCTTTGTTTATATAAGTTATATTTATAAGTTTTTATATTTATTTAGTTATAAGTTTTATTATAAGTTTTATACGTCTTATCATATGTGTAGTAGTTAGTTTATTTTGTTTAGTGACAATGTGTGTGCATGCTAATTTGATTTCAAAAGTACAAAATTTCTCCGTGGGATCGACCCTTACTTTCCCTAGCTATAGTTTTATTTGATTATATATTGGAGGTTAGTTAAGGATATTTTATAAATTTTTAATTTGTTTTTTACCGCACGACGGGTCTTCAACAAGGGCTACGAGTGTGAAGTTAGATTGCCCATTGAAGCTGAATTTCCAACGTTTAGGGAAGCAAATTACCAGGCCCAAGAGAATAAAGAAGATCACTTGGCCGGACTTAACTTGGTCGAGGAACAAAGGATGGCCATAGAAGTAATGATGAAGTCCTACGAAGAAGTCCATGATAACAAAGTGGTGAAGAAATACCACGATAACAAAGTTGGACCATGATACTTCCAAGTCGGTGATGAAGTCCTACGAAGAAGGTAACCTAGTAAACCGGGTGACGGAGGAAAGCTGGCCAAGAATTGGAAAGGCCCATACCAGGTGAGTGCAGTAGTTCGCCCAGGCACATACCGGTAGAAACTTTGGAAGGTGGGACAATAGAAAGGTTTTGGAATTCCCATCATTTGAGAAAGTTCTACAAATAATTCTAATACTAGGCAAAGCCTATTTCCGTTATCAAGTAATCAAATTGGTGAATTTCCATACTCTACCCGGTAGAGTCGAAAGTGATGGGTGGAACCTATACGGAAGGCTTCCCGGGTGGATCGGATCCACTCGGGTAGGCCAACTAAGACAGGCCTAGACTTGGCACGCTGGTTACAACACCGGTCTTGCTCAGTATAATAAAAAAAATAAAAAGAAAAACCCGGAAGAATAGCCCCGGATATGGGGTATGCCTGCAATCAGGCTGGACCTGGAAGAAGGTTCAAAACTGTACTTACACAGACTCATAAGGTTTGACCGGGACCAGGGAGTCAGTCGGAACCATAAAACTGATTGGGGTTATAAGATTCCCATTAAAAGAAAAAGAAAAGGATCATTCACCGTAGTGCATCCTACTCCGACCAGGTCGGATTCCCCCTTCTCAGGGAAGACTTGAACGGGGGGTGAGTTAAGGCCTTTTACCCCGGGATAGTAAACATCAAAGGGCCATTAAAAGACATAATCACCCGGAAGAGGGCCCTGGAAGAAGGGTGCGTTTGAGATTTAAAGAGGGTTCGAAGCCATTCGACATGGTTAAATCTCTAGTGTTCTTACCAGGTGAGAATACTTTGCAGAAATACTAGGTTTCAGGTGCATCCACCTACAAACTATTGGTCAAACAAAATAAATAAATAAATATACCCGGTGGGGTTTTAATATCTGATAAAAAAAGAATTTCAAAAGTTTTCGAAGAACAAAGGCGATTCTCTCCACTGGTTGGACAGAGCGAGAAATGGTTTACCGGTTAAGACAAGTCAATAATCGAGAAGGAACTTGAAGTGCAAGTTATATCGGGCGCGTTTGATCAGATCAAAAGTCATTAGAGAAACGGGAATAAAAGATAAGATTGAGAGGTAAGTTAAGCACGCTACCGGTCAGAGTTCAAATTAACAAATCCTAAGTTATTGAGAAACAAGATATCAAGCAGTATACGAAGCTAACCGGAAAGATACATAAACATGGCATTTCAATAAAGATAAATGTCAATGTCTACAAGTACACCAGGCATACTCGGGCAAATGATAAAAGGTTGAAGTGTCTTGCATAGAAATCACCGGGCATACCCGGGGAAGTCTACTCTAAGGGGAAGGGGGGAGCAGGCTCGTCATCAGGGATCGAAGCCAAACCATAGGAGTCAGCCGTGAAGTCCGGGTCTCGTTCGGCAAGAATGGCATGAGTAGCCTCCCGGTCTCGCTTCTGGCCGGACATGAAGCCATAGGAGCCCACGGTCGTGATCATTTCCTTACCAATGGGCTCCCGGTAGAGCAGCTTGAAGGATTTCATCGTCATTTTCAGGGGGGGGGGGAGTGAACACCCGGGTAGCATCCTCCAAGTTCTCCATCCATTGACGAGCTCTATCGGGTAGCTCCCGGTCCTTCAGCTCGACAATCCCCTTCAGACGGGAGACCTCCTCCATCAATTGAGTGTTCTCCTCCTTTAGCTGGAGGTTCTCCGCGCCTACTACCCCGGCCATCTTCGAGAGTTTGGCCATCTTGTCCGTCTGCCGCATGATCACGACGTTGAGCTCCCGATTATGCTCCTCCCCCTTCTTCAACTTTTCCTCCAGCTGGGCCACCCGGGAGGGAGGGTCTTCAGAGAACTAGTCCATGGCATCCGGCCCCATTTTACCACGCTACAAAAAAAAGAAGAAAAGATGTCAGTATAGGTGCATAAAAAAAGAGATGGAAGGTGTACCAGGCAAAGCTTCGGATAGTCAACTGTAGCGGATTCCAAAGAATCATTGGTGATAGGGAAAAAAGCCAGCCGGAGGAATGGAGTTTGGCCCTCAAGGTGTGGGTGTGTGCACAATGTAGCTCTAGCACTCATGGGTCAAAACGGTGATTCTCGAAAAGATTTCACAACACAAAGAAACATTTAAGAAGCACTCTTGAACATGTCTAAGTCAATATTCACTAGCATATACAAGATTCATCACATGACATAAACTAAACATAAGCAAGCACACAAGCCCAAAGACTAAAGTCTTGACTACTCCCCCCACACTTAGATCGAGACACCGTCCTCGGTGTCAAGAGACATGAAACTACGGGGGCAAAGAGGGGATAAAGCACATATAAACAATTTTAAGCACAAGGGTGAATGGGAGGGAAACAATGCATCTCCACTCAAAAGACAACATGACAACAACTAGACAACGAAACACATCCCAACTCAAAACTCACAAGCACATAATAATACTCTTTCACACATATGCTAAGAAAACGTCAGGGCGTCCCCAAACACAAGCTAAGCATAGAGAAAAAGAGTAGAGAAATGCAAACTTCGTAAGCATATGAGAACGAGTGGAAAGTTTGTATTGTTGTCATGATCCATGAAGCTCGAGTGTTTAATCCATCAACCCCTTAGGCCTCATTAGCCAAAATATGATCTTCAAAAATGACCCTCATGGTTTAAATCTCCCAACTTCTCTTTAATTAGCCCCGTACCTATATCCAAACAAAACAATCCACAAAGAGAAGCTCAAAGTAGAAAGTTAGGGAGCTCATTATTGAAAGAAAGTAAAAGAAAGCAATTAAATAGATAAAGGCTTGGGTTGCCTCCCAAGAAGCGCTCTTTTAACGTCATTAGCTTGACGGTTTTATTTTTAAAAGAAATTCCTTTAAGTGCTTCCCTAGGAAAACACCCTTGAAGCGTTTGAAGTTAGGAAGCCAAAATAACTTCAAATGCTTCCCAAGAAACACCCCCTTTGGTTTTAAAAAAGTAGTGAACATGGGGGTGATGTTCGGGAGAGTAAAGGATTGATCAAATGAAGCACAAATCCTCTCCCGAACCGAGGAGCAATGTGGGAGAAAGTGTTCTCCCGGCTTAAAAGGCAAGCCTAGCCAAAATGGATGCATGTCAATGTAAGTGTTGCTAGGCTTGTGCTTAAAAGAAAGAGTAGGAAAGCGCAAACCATGTGCTAGAGCATTAGGAAGCTACGACCTCTCAAAGGCATATAATGAAGAGTCTACGCTCAAGCCTCCCTTGATCTTCATAGATTGCTCGGGAGGAGCCTCAAGAAATAGATGTTCGGGTTCATCCCCAAGTGGCTCCTCCATGATCTCTCCCAAATCAGATTCCTCCACCACCAGCTCAAATAAAATGTCACTCACTTCTTTGACCTCCGGTTGCATAGTACCCAACACCAACGGCTCCTCACCTTTATCAATCACTATCTCTAAATACTCCTCCACCGGTGTATCTTCCTTTTTAGATCCCACTACCTCTCCACTTTGATAAGGATTGCAAGGGAATGTTTGGGGAGGATAGTAAGGATAAGGGGCAAGGTAATATGGGTTTGGCGTAGGATAAGCTTGAGGCCAACCCACATATAGACCATTGAAGTAAGGGGGAGGATATGGTAAGGTTGGAGGATTAATGGGTAAAGACGAAGGTGTTGATGTAGGGTTAGAAATAGGATATGGAACCTTGGGTTGAGGTAGGGAAGCTTGTGAAGCTATAGAAATAGCCGGGTGGATGGGAATATATTCAAAGTCACTAAGTGAGAATTCAAATCTTGGTATGGTTGGATTAAGGGCTAGACTTTGAGCATAGAGTTCATTCTCCAAACGAAGCTCTTCAATGATAGAATCAATGTCATTATCCTCCATGAATGCACCAACCTACAAAAGAAGATAAACAAAGTAAGAAAAACAAATGCAAGCGAACAAAAGAAAGAATGGCCTAGTCTCCACTAACAACTTTTCAATCAATGTTAACTAACACAAAGCACTCAAAACCATTGCTATTCCCCGGCAACGGCGCCAGTTTTGATGCAAGAAATTTTCGACGCATCGTTGGACGCCGAAAACCCTCGATCAAAAAGAGATGAGGTGGAAGTGAAATGGAATGGAAAATGAAATGTGGAAAAGTAATTGAAATGAATAAAGTGGTGATAATAAGGGTTGTCGAGTCCACGGGGATAGCGTGATTGGTTAGGAATCGAGTGTAAAGTGCAACAAAACACTAATATCAAATTGTTAAACGTGAATCTAAGCCAAATAGAAGGAGAAGATGAATGATATGTAATGCAAATGAATGAAACTAAACTAATGCAATGAAATGCAAGAAGTAAATGAAAAGCAAGCCTAGATTAGGAATTTCATGCTAACAATGCTATTGTCAAAGGAATAGAGGAAAATGGGAATTCGACTAAAATGCGAGCAAATCACCTCGATTCTCACTTCCATGAGAATCGAGAAAGAATCCCCTTGATAAGAACCCACTTCCGTGGCGCTCGTCTCAAGAGAACTACGAACAAGACAAACAAGCTCCTCAAGTATCCTCCACTTCTGTGGTAGGACTTGAGAGGGAGACTCACAGCTAGGGTTCTAAATCCCGATTCCTCGGTGATTTAGAGACCATTCCGGGCCAACAACAACATACAAATCTAAATAAGCACAATCTCCTTAAGCAACCTAGATCAAGATCTCACAATCCACAACTATCCAATGACAATAAACATAAATCAACAATTCATCCCTAACCTAGGCTAGAAAATCTAGCCTAGCATGCTAAAACTAAAGAGATGCATAAAAGATAAGAGAGAAACACGTAAATAAAGCATGAAGGAGATGAAGTAAATAAAAGCTAACACTAAGGAACAAGAAAATAAACATTCAAGTGTTAAATCTAAAGTTGGAACTCCCCAAAATAAAATCAAATATTGAAGATAAAGAATAACCCTAATCTAAGAATGAAAAAGGAGGAAATGGGGGAGCTCCCATGACAAATTGGAGCTAGGGGAGTATATAAAGAGTAGAGGGAAGTGGGAGTAAAATGACAAATAAGGATTAAATTCTGAAAATTACTCCATAAATGAAAGGAAACCAGGGGCTATTTAGGAATTTCACAGCCCAAAATGAATCTGGCTGCACTTCTCTTCCGTCTTAACTTCGTTGGGTCGGGTCTGCCGTCGAGTAAATGCCGCTGAGAATCTTCTCTGGTCGGGAGCTGCTCGTCGTCAGATTGAGGGAGGAGGGTCGCCGTTTGTCGCTCGCGTTTTATCGCTAGAGTGGAGCTCGTCGCTGCTGGAGCTCGCTGTCGCCCGTCGTTGCTTGTGGCCGGAGCAAGGGAGCTTTTAGAGCATGAACAATGGCAAGGATGAAATATAATGCCACACGATGACGTGGTACATTTCCACCAATTAAAAATAGTCCAGTCACACAGTGGCACATGAGTTGAGTGGTAAGTCCCACAGTGGCAAGTAAGTATTTTTTCACTTTTTTTAATACATACTCAATATTAATAATAAAAAATTATTTCTTTTATACATTTTATCATAAAAATCATTCTCCCTTTTTATATAATATTGGATATGGAAATTCATAATAATTGAAATTTTAAAATTTCAATTCCTAATTAAAGAAACAAAAAATTGAAGAATCAAACAAATTAATACTCTGTAACTCCCTGGTTTCCTTCATCCACGAGCAAGAGTGTACGACCTTCTCTCCATTGTGCACAGTAGCCATCCAATAATTTCACATCCATCCGCCAGAAATTCATGCCCGGATGAACCACACCCCCACCGAAAACCCTAGATGAGCCCCCCTTCTTCCTCTATTTTAAATCTTTTCCTCAATCTCGTTTGAAAAGATGAAAAGATTCTTTGAAATCCCTTTTATAAATATGCCTTGCAGGTGGAACGATATGTGGGGTGGAACGCTCCTCCATTGCCTCGCGCCACGCCTCCACTTGCTGATGTGGCAGGGCGTGGCATTCCTTTGACATGCCGCTGTGAATGCTCTTAATTTCTGTTGATACTTCTTATTTCCAATTAAGACAGTTTTTGAAATTAGAATTTGGCCCCATGTATTTGAATTCACTTGTAATTCAGCCCTTCCACTTGAATTTTGGTCTAAAATCAATCAATTAACACAACAACAACAACAACCCAGTTAAATCCCACAAGAGTAGGGTCTGGGGAGGGTGTGTGTACGCAGACCTTGCCCCTACTCGAAAGTAGAGAGGCTGTTTCCAAAGAGACCCCCGGCTCAACATCGAAAGTTGCAGTGACTAACTGCTACTTCATTAATTAAAGAAGCGCAGATAGTTTAGAGATCCATTTTGATTTATTCCATCACACCCCAAAGCCAAAAATGGTGAAATTTTGACTCCATCGGAGATGATGGAGTCATCATATATTTAAGAAACACAAATTAGTCCAAAATCATATATTTAAGAAACATTACACAATTAAGCTCAAATTGTATTAAAATCAAAGTTAATAAGTCTATCAAAAGATAATAAAATAGATACAAATAATGGACTTATCAACCATCGCAACAGAGTGCCCACTTCTCTAGGGGTAAAGCTAATAACCAGTCATATGCCTCCACCCATTGTGACTTAATTTAATGCATTGTTCAATTGAATTCATAGAGATCTAGGGTTCTGGCTGCATGATACATCAAGCCATTCAGCTTTTTGCTATTGAACTTCTTTTGAAAATTACTTCTCAAGTGGCACACGCAATATCTCTTGGTGACACGCTATTCCATTAACTAGGGGATAGTATTGAAAGCTACATCAATGCCCCCGTGCCTATCAGAAATGATGCACATTGACTTATCAAAAGGTACTACATAATGCATTAAATGCAACATGAACCAGCTCCAACTATCCCCGTCTTCTTTGTCAACAAGGGAATAAGCTAAGGGTAAATCTCGTGATTTGCTGTCATTGTTACTGCCAACAACAACACTCTCTTATATTTCTCATACAAGTGGGTGCCATCACAAGAAAACAGTACTTGAACCCATCTATACACGCTTTGAAAGACTAGAAAACGTACATGAATTGAAAAGTTTTTGGCGTTGTTGTTGGCCGCATTTGTATCTCGGCCACTACCCAGGATTTCTTTGAATCAACGCTGCAAATAGAGGCAAAAGCTTGTTATACAAATCCTCCCAGGATATGTACAGTCCTTGAATGGCATCCGACTTAGCCAACCGACATTTCTCATACGTCACAGAAACTTGAAATAAGTCGTAAATATCTTTAATGATGCCTCACCTCTTAATCAGCATCAGCCTCAATTTTTGAGAATATAATTCCCGATGTGAGCTTGCTTGTAATAAGCTTATCGTCTTTCTCTTTAGAAAAGTCAGGTCTACATAAATGTTGATTTCTATACTGTTTGACCGTCCAAACAAAAGCATCCTCTGCAGCCAGGATAAGCCATGGGCACTGTTCCGGATATGAGCACTTCGTCAGCCAATAATTGCGACGCTTTAAACAAGTTTGAAAGTGTCTCTGCTCCGCAATATTGCGTAGTGCAACTGCAAATTGAAGGCTTTTGAAATTACTGTACCGATATCTAATTTGAATTTCAGGGATACAGAACGTTGGTTGTAGTGTGACTTCTTCACGTCCCTATGGACCGGAAAATATGGAATTCCTTGTTTAGCAACGTTAATAGGCTCCTCTGTGTACACGTCCGGTGTGTACATAGAGACCCATTCAGACTCATCTGAAGAATTAGCAGCGTACGTAGGATCCTTAGAGTCGTCTTCATCATCCATGTCTTGTGCCATGTTAAACGATCCCGCCTCATCAACTTGGTGGTGGTAATGAACTTGGTGATTGTTTTGCTCTTAAATTCCTCCATTTCTTCTTCCTCGTGAGCCAGGACTTCAACTTGGTGTGCATCCAGGTAAACCCCAAATTTTTTTGATTGAATTGAGATTATCTTCAGCAATAGCATCGAGGAGTTCATTGAAGACCTCCTCAAATGACACATCCAGATCAAAGACAAAGACTTTGTTTGAATGCAATGAGTACTCCACCTTATTGTTCTTGATCATTATCTCATCGTTCCAATGGGCTAGCAAGACAAAACTACCATCAGATGACATTTTTTTATAAGAGATTCTCAGAGAAGTGAGTAGATATGTGAGAGTACAGCTCAGTGGTGAGATTATGAGAGTTAAGCAACAAATATATAGATGAGATATTTTTTTGTTAAGTGGATTGAATGGTGTAGGATGTTTAGTAGTGTTAGATGAGATATTTTTTTGTTAGGTGGATTGTATGGTGTGGGATATGATTTGGTGTGAGATGAGATTTTTTTTGTTAGGTGGATTGAACGGTGTAGGATGTCTAGTGGTGTTAGATGAGATATTTTTTAGGTGGATTGAATGGTGTAGGATATTTAGTAATGTTAGATGAGATGTTTTTTTGTTAGGGGGATTGAACGGTGTAAGATGTTTAAAGGTGTTAGATGAGATAATTTTTTGTTAGGTGGATTGAATGGTGTAGGATGTTTAGTTGTGTTAGATGAGATATTTTTTTATTAGGTAGATTGAACGGTGTAGGATGTTTAATGGTGTTAAATGAGATATTTTTTTGTTAAGTGGATTGAATGGTGTAGGATGTTTAGTGGTGTTAGATGAGACCTTTTTTGTTAGGTGGATTGATTGGGGGAGGATATTTAGTGGTGTTAGTTAAGATATCATAAAGTACTTATCATCCAAATTAATACAGTAATAAAGATTTTACTATCCAAATTAATACAGGAATTAAAATGGGGGGGGGCGTTGGATTTGGATTTTGGATAGAAGACGGATGGTCATCCATTATCAATTTTTTTTAGGTATAACGATAGAGCCAGTACCGCTAACCCCCTTTTTCTCTGACCAAATTAAATTTATTTTAACTTAACGGTAGAGTCAATACCGTTAACCCCTTTTTCTCTGACCAAATTAAATTTATTTTAACTTAACAGTACAACTAGTACCGTTAACCCCCTTTTTCTCTGTTTAATTTATTTTAACTTAACGGTACACCTTGTACCGTTAACCCCTTTTTCCATCTGGCAGTACTGAATGGGAATGTTTTTTTCGTTCACTGAACGGGAATTAAATCGTGTGTATATGTTAATGAATATAGATGGAATTCGGGCTCGTATCAAAAGATGGGGTGCTTCTAGGACCCGTCTCCAGGGAGGGTCACCAGATGATACGATCTTAGATCTCAAGGCCAAGATTTTTGAGAGGAATGTGGGAGATGCCAAGGTCTGGAGGAAAACCCTCTACTTTGGTGGAGAGGAATTGGAGGTGGACTGAAAAATTAGTGACTATCCAAATCTGGTAAATAACTCCACTTTGACCATAAAAGTGAGGTTTGATACCACGGTGGTGCCGATGAAATCCCCAAATTGTTGTTCACCACAACACCACCATCCGCCAGCTTAAGGAACAGATCATTGTCCTTATCTTTGGAGACTTGGCGCAGAAAGATATCCTCACCCTCTCCACTAGGAATAACCCTCAGCCTTTGTGTGGATGGAGACCTGGTGAAAATATTCGATGATGTTACCGTGACTGGAACCTTCACCAACACCGCCCAGTCCAGAACTAGGAAGAGAACCAGGGAAGCAGAGCAAGTCGAGGAGGCGGCGGCTGCTCGGGCATGGGCGGTGGCGTCTACGCCTGCAGATTAATCTACTCCTGCTGTCGGTGGCATTTTATTGATCCATGTCTACTCAGTTTAGTTTCAATATATTTAAATCCTTATCTTTATGTTAATCCGATCCAATCCATAATAATAATGACTAGTAGTAGTCTAGTAGATGTTATGTTACCCGGCCCGCCGGCCGCCCCTATTAATGAATGACTTTTACCACTCTTTTCCTTTCTACATTTTATTTTGTTTAATTTTTATTACCATCCAACCCAACCAACACATTATATATGCCTTTGGTAGCTGACTGATTACACACTTTCTTGCTGAAAAAGGATAACACCATAATAATATGATTAATATTAATGATATTATTAATGATATTAATAATATTATTATTAATTATTTCAGAATATATTTTCTAAAATTCCTTTCAAAGCTTATTTCTTACTCCCTATATCATCCAACAAAAAAGAAGTGTAACCTGTGATCTATCAACCCATGCCTTAAATTAAATAGGAGTAATAATAATAATAATAATAATAATAATAATAATAATAATAATAATAATAATAATAATAATAATAATAATAATACTCCCTTTAAACATTAATTACATTTAATTTACATTTCATATTAAAAAAATTAATATAATCCTTTTTCAGTAAAAAAGTGTGTAATCAGTCAGCTACCAAAGACATATAATGTGTTGGTTGGGTTGATGGTAATAAAAATTAAACAAAACAAAAAGGTAGAAAGGAAAAGAGTGGTAAAAGTCATTCATTAATAGGGGGCGGCCGGCGGGCCAGGTAACATAACAACTACTATTAGTCATTATTATTATGGATTGGATCGGATAAAGATAAAGATCCAAATCTATTGAAACTAGACTGAGTCGACATGGATCAATAAAAGGCCACCGGCGGAAGAGCAGATTAATCTGCAGGCTCAGGCACCACTGCCCATGCCCCAGCTGCCGCCGCCTCCTCGGCTTGCTCTTCTTCCCTAGTTCTCTTCCTAGTTACGGACTGGGCGGTGTTGGCGACGGTTCCAGGGTAACATCGTTGAATATTTTCACCAGGTCTCCATCCACACAGAGGCTGAGGGTTGATCCTAGTAGAGAAGGTGAGGATATCTTTCTGCGCCAAGTCTCCAAAAGCAAAGGCAGTGATCTGTTCCTTAAGCTGGCGGATGGTGGTGTTGTGGTGAAAAACAATTTGGGAATTTCACCGGCACAATCGTGGTATCAAACCTCACTTTTATGGTCAAAATGGAGTTATTTACCAGATTTGGATAGTCACTAATTTTTCGGTCCACCTCCAATTCCTCTCCACCAAAGTAGAGGGTTTGCCTCGAGACCATGGCATCTCCCTCATTCATCTCAAAAATCCTGGCCTTAAGATCTAGGATCGTATCATCTGGTGACACTCCCCGCACACGGGTCCCTAGAACCACCCCATCTTCTGATACGAGCCCGAATTCCATCTATATTATTAACATATACACACGATTTATTTCCCGTTCAGAAGGAAAAAAAGCATTCAAATTCAGTACTGTTAGATGGAAAAAGGGGTTAACGCTACTGGATGTACCGTTAAGTTAAAATAAATAAATTTTGGTCAGAGAAAAAGGGGGTTAACGGTACTGGTTGTACCATTAAGTTAAAATAAATTTAATTTGGTCAGAGAAAAAGGGGGTTAACGGTATTGACTTTACCGTTAGTTAAAATAAATTTAATTTGGTCAGAGAAAAATGGGGTTAGTAGTACTGGCTCTATCGTTATACCTAAAAAATTGATAATGGATGGATGACCATCCGTCTTCTATCCAAAATCCAAACACAACCCCCCCCCCCCATTTTTATTCCTATATTAATTTGGATGCTAAATTCTTTATTACTTTATTAATTTGGATGCTTATGTACTTTATGATGTTTTAACTAACAATACTAAATATCCTCCACCAATCAATCCACCTAACAAAAACTATCTCATCTAACACCACTAAACATTCTACACCATTCAATCCACCTAAAAAAACATCTCATCTAACACCACTAGACATCCTACACCATTAGTCCACCTAACAAAAAATATCTCATCTAACACCGCTAAACATCGTACACCAATCAATCCACCTAACAAGAAAATATCACATCTAACACTACTAAACATCCTACAGCATTCAATCCACCTAACAAAAAATATCTCATCTAAAACCACTAAACATCCTACACCGTTCCATCCACCTAACAAAAAAATTTCATCTCACACGAATAAGTATCCCACACCATACAATCCACCTAACAAAAAAATATCTTAATTCAATCAAAAAATTTTGGGGAAAATATATCAAATACAATGATGGAGTATATGCCGCTTCACGCCCTTTCCCCATTTCCGAGGAACAAACATGGAGGTGTTTCGTTCAAAAAGCAACTAAGCAATATGATGAACTTGAGGTTACCTAGATGCACACCAAGTTGAAATCCTGGCTCACGAGGAAGAAGGAATGGAGGAAGAGCAAAACAACCACCAAGTTCATCACCACCACTACCACCAAGTTTATTACCACCACCAAGTTGATGAGGCGGGACCGTCTAACACGGCACAAGACATGAATGATGAAGATGACTCTAGGGATCTTACATACGTTGCTAATTCTGATCAAGAGAGTTCTTCAAATGAGTCTGAAGTATCAGGATGGATCTCTATGTACACACCGGACGTGTTGAGCCTATTAACGTTGTTGAACAAGGAATTCTAGATTTTCCGGTCCATAATAGGTACGTTGAAGAAGTCTCACTACAACCAACGTTCCGTATCCCTAAAATTCAGATTGGATATCGGTACGGTGATTTCAAAAGCCTTCAATTTGCAGTGTCACTACGCAATATTGCGGAGCATAGACACTTTCAAACTTCTTCAAAACGTCGCAATTATTGGCTGGCAAAGTGCTCGTATCCAGAACAGTGCTCATGGCTTATCCAGGCGGCAGAGGAAGCTTCTGTTTGAACTGTCAAAAAGTATAGAAGTCAACATTTATATAGACCTGACTTTTCTAAAGAGAAAGACGATAAGCTTATTACAAGCAAGCTCACATCGGGAATTATATTCTCAAAAGTTGCGGCTGATGCTGATTAAGAGGTGAGGCATCATTAAAGATATTTACGACTTATTTCAAGTTTCTGTGACATATGAGAAATGTTGGTTGGCTAATTCGGATGCCATTCAAGGACTGTACAAATCCTGGGAGGATTTGTATAACAAGCTTTTGCCTCTATTTGCAGCGTTGATTCAAAGAAATCCTGGGTAGTGGCCGAGATACAAATGCGGCCAACAACAACGCCAAAAACTTTTCAGTTCATGTACGTTTTCTAGTCTTTCAAAGCGTCTATAGATGGGTTCAAGTACTGTTTTCCCGTGATCTCTGTTGATGGCACCCACTTGTATGAGAAATATAATCACGTGCTAAAGGGATGCCGGTCTCTTCCATTATACACTATTGTGAAGACAACGTACGAGCGATTAGTAAAATTATTTGCAGAAAAGCCTACAAACGGATTTACATGGCTACAAGTGGGATTTAAGTTCCAAAAATATATTTGGGACGAGGTCATACGCATGGAAGACCATCATTTACATTTGTCATGTTATCCCCCATCATCTGCAACAAGGAACTTATCGGGTCATTGTTGAGGGCAACGCTGGAGCAACCGGTACATTAGAAGAGATTGTCGTGCAACTGGGCCAAAAAATGTGCGGTTGCAAGAAATGGGCCACATTGTACATTCCATGTGTGCATGTCTACCCCGTATGTCGTTATTGCAGCATTAGGTTTGATGATCTCATTCCACGAGTGTTCTCACTTCAGAATTACCTCGATGCATATTTTGGAAATGTTATGTCACTACAAAATGAAATTGAATGGCCTACTCTTGATTACGAATTAGTCCAACCCCTTACAGGGCAAAGGTCGCAGGTCGGTCGTCCAGTGAGCACCTGTTTCACAAATAATATGAATATGCAATCATGAAGGCATCGTCGTGGTACTTAGTTAAATTATAAATTTCTATGTGAGATTTTTAAATATGTACGACAACTTTTATTTGTATGCTTTTAATTTCAGTAATAGTGCATCGAATGAATAATAATATTATTTATGTTCAAATTTAATACGTATATCTAAGGAACGGAAGTATTAAATTTAATATTTATAAATAACTCATAGCTTAACGGTACTGGCTCTATCGTTAAGTTAGAAAATCTAACATAACGGTACTAGCTGTACCGTTATGTCTTAAGTCAGAATACCCAGACACTGTCATACACACAAATTAATAAAAGAAATTGGTAAGGTCTTGTATCAATCAATCTTACACATTGTAAAAAAAGCAAATATGGGTAAAGTGTCTTGCACAAATCAATTACAGCACACCATATAAAATGGATTTCTGAATAATAATAATAAAATAATAATAATAATAATAATAATTATAATAATAATATTAATAATAATAATAAAATTAATAATAATAATAATAATAATAATAATAATAATAATAATAATAACAATAATAAGATTGGAGGAAGACTCCAAAATCCATCTAATTTGAAAACCCCAAATAATGAAACTCCATTAGTTAAATACATCCAGATTATAAAAACCTATTTTATAAAATGTGATGATCGAAGGAAATGCAGTAATAATGATAATAACAATAATGGAAAAAAGAGATAATGCATCAAGTTAAAAATATGGAAAAATCATAGAAAAAGAAATTTTAATAAATAGATCCCACCACTAGGACCGAGATCATAAAAACTGGATAAGGCACATCCAGATCATAAACATCCCTTGTTCCCTTTCAAAAATAGGATGGTCCAAGAAAAATACTCGTAAAAAAAATAAAGACGAAAGGGAATGCATACGGAAGGCTCGTATTTTATTAAAAGCAATTTCAAGATTTAGAGCCCACCACTTTTTGTGCCGTCAGTAGATAATATACTACCTCCGTCCCAAAAAGATTTACATGTTTTGACTAAAGTTGAAATTAAGGGAGGTATAATTTTGTGTTGACTTTCCAAAAATATCCTTGATGTGATGGGTAAAGTAGGATGTGATGTATAGATTATTAGGAAAAAGGTATGATGTGATAGGTAGGATTTGAAAAAGTGAGGAGTAAAAGTGGTTTTTTAATAGAAATGGGTAGGAGATTGTGGGACGCAATTTTTAAGAAAGATGTAAATCTTTTTGAGACGGAGGGAGTAATAAGAAAAGGAATGACTCTTGTAATAATGATGCTGGGACATCACTATGTCTATTTAAATAGCTATATCTAGGGTTTTGATAGATTTACGGTGGCGTTGGAATTGAGCCCTGATTAGTGATTAGTCACTACTCACTCCCTAGACGATTCTGCCCTCCTATGGTGAGGTGGCATTCAACCAGCTGGTGGAATCCATTCTCTCTCCTTTTTTAAAAAATATGTCTGTACAAATTAATTACTACATTTCCCATTTTAAAAAATGGCGCGCCTTTAAAATGAGTAATTTTGGTGCTATTTTCTAATTATGATTAATTTATTCTACACATTTCATCCAACTCTTTTATAAAGTAAAGGCAAAATTAGAAAATAATACCAAAATTACTCATTTTAAAGGCGCACCATTTTTTAAACGGGAAATGTTTCATGGGACGGAGGGAGTACAACATTTACAATGGAATGGACTCTACCCCATAAAACATATCTAATCTTATGATTTTCTTCTTCTATCTTTCTATTTATTTTACATTATTCATTATTTTTAATTAAAGTTATATATATTTAATAAAAATATTTATTTATTAATAAAAATAGATGAAAAATTAAAAAATTGTAACAATTAAAAAAATTAAAAGTAAGTAAATGTTTCCTCCGTCCCATAAAGATGTTTCCATTTTGACTTTTAGAAATTTAAGGGAAAGATATTTTTGTATTAATACAAAAATATCTTTCCCTTAAATTTTTAAAAGTCAAAATGGAAACATCTTTATGGGACGGAGGAAACATATACTTACTTTTAATTTTTTTAATTGTTACAATTTTTTAATTTCTCATCTAGTTTCAAATTAACAGCCAAATTACAAACTATAACACTTACATATTATAGTTTTCAAATTACAAACTTACATATTATAGTTTCAAATTAACAAAACTAGACATATTTTTACAATTACTTGTGAAACAAAGCAATGTGTAGTCGAATGTCGTTTTGGTAAAAAAAAATTACAAAAAGCATGGTTTGCAATATGTGGAGGGACAGCAGGAAACTATTGGATTTATTTGCCCACTCACTAAATGGGGTTTGGGTGGAATATCATTATGAGTTATAACATGTTGGGCATCTCAATATAAGTGCCCCAACTCAAGGGGGGTGTTAGTCACTACAACTCAAACCCATTATGGTATTACTTACCTCCTCCAATAAAGCATTTCCAGCTCTCTCACCAACGCCATTTATGGTCACTTCTAACTGTCTCGCACCTGCACATGCTCCCTGAAAAATGAGCTCCGACAATACGGTCAATTGAACTCACTTGTATAGTTGTATGTGATTTCATCAATGAAGATAAAAGGCTATATACAGCTAAAGTGTTGGTTGTCGCAAGCCCTAAATCATTATGACAGTGTGTTGAAATGATAACATTTTCAATTCCAGGGGTGTTGGCTTTTATATCAGCAATCAGCTGTCCAAATTCTGAGGGAATTGTATAACCAACGGTATCGGGGATATTAAGGGTTGTTGCTCCAGCTCTGATAACTTCTCCAAGTATTTGATAAAGAAACTCCCTATCAGATCTGGAAAGAGTGGAAGGTTATGTAAAAAAGGCATAAACCTTGAAAAGACTACCCATGTTAAACATGAACAAAGTTGTTCGGAAAACATAATTCCAGATGAGGCCCTTAGAGCAAATAAAATTCTAAGAATATCTTTTGAACGGTAAATGATTAGCTAGTACATGTTGCTTGTTATAGAAGCAGTTTGCAGTTATCATTGCCTTTAGCACTAAAGGATGCCACTGCTTTTGACACTACTACACACTACATTTCTTGAAATTAACTAAGAATCACATGTAATATATCTTTTGGAACTCTAGGTCTCATAGGTAGACTATAGACACTACAAGTCCGCCGAAGAATCACTAAACATGCAGTACTCTTTTAATGAGTGCAAGAGCAATTCTTCACCTAGATAAGTGAGTGAGACTGTATAACCATTTCTAGAACACGTGAACTCTTGCACCCATTTTCTCTTTTATTGAAGTCTTGAAAACAAAAGAATATAAAAGAGGTGTTAGTGTGCCAGCAAAGAGAGGCTGAATTTTTCTGGATCACTCTAATAGTGGCTGGAGTAGTCATCTTTAGTAAGCCAGCGAGGGGGGACAGGAAAAAGAACGTTTGAAAATCATTCCCTTAGGAAATGCCTCGCCTAAATATTTGCACAGTTATGGCCTGAAAGAAACTCTAGTGAATAGCCAGTAGACACAGTACGTGAGTACCTGTTGGTTCCGCCAAGGAATCAATAAAAGTACTCCTAAATCAGAGCTAAAGAAAATGCCAATGCACCCTCACATGAAAAATACATAAATAAATAAACTAATATGTGTATTGAAATTCAATTACAAACTTCTATAAAAAATAAATACTTGGCCAAGTTTTCTCAAATTTAACATAGAAATCAGTATTCTACAGGGTACAGCTAGCTGGTTACCAAAGATTAAATATTGAAGCATCAATATAATGTGAAGCTTATAGATCCTACTACAGAGTACTTTTCCTAGCTGTATCCAGACACGACAAAATCTATATTTTGCAGACTCATGAGAATTAACAGATACTGTACAAAGGGCATATACATTGTGTACAAAAAGGCCATAGACAACAATATATGGAGGGAAATGAAATGATTTAACCTGCCGGCATCTTCAGGGCTAAATTCAACATCAGGACAGCCAAGGCTCCGGGCGTAACTGACCATGCTAGTTGCCTTCTCCATCACTTGCTCCTTGGTCATTTTGAGCTTGGCCTTCATGTGGATCTCACTTGTGGCAATGAAAGTATGGATTCTAGGCTTCTTCGCGTGCTTTACGGCCTCCCACACCTTGTCTATGTCATTCTTACTGCACCTGGTTAAAATTTTAAAATGTTTACGAGTTCGTGCGAAGCACGGGGTTAACACTAGTTTGATAATAAATGGCTAATTAGAGAATTCATATTATAAAAAATTAATTATGGAATTTAGTAGAGTATTAATGGGGGCCAAAATACGGAGTATTACTGAAATAATGGTGCCCTAATATAGTAGGACTGTTTCTACTTTCTAGCCACAAAAAAAGTGACGACTATAGCTCTCAGCTGCCGTCTTCATAAACGCAGAAGCCCTCAAACACTTCTTTCAGCTGGCCGTCAAAAATGGAGTCTACTTGCGCGCGCTCAAACCTTCCTCACATTCCAAGTTCAATCTCCAAATGCACGCTCAGATCGCGCGCAATCCCCTCCGCGGCCGCCGCTTTTTCCAAGGGTTTCAGCCGCTCCATCACCATTAGCAGCGGCGCATCAAGGCGGCGTTGCCATGTGGCCGCTGTCGTCCGCTGCCAGTCCTCGCGCAGGCCGGATTACAGCCCCAATCGGATCTCGGATCCCAAGTACGTTCGTATTTTCGACACCACCCTCCGCGACGGCGAGCAGTCACCAGGAGCCACCATGACCACCAAGGAGAAGCTCGACGTAGCGCGACAGCTCGCCAAGCTCGGCGTTGACGTGATTGAGGCTGGGTTTCCCGCTGCCTCCATGGCAGACCTTGAAGCCGTTAGGGTGATCGCTGAGGAGGTTGGCTGTGGGGAGGGCGATGATGTGCCTGTCATCTGCGGCCTTGCCAGGTGCAGTAAGAATGACATAGACAAGGCATGGGAGGCTGTAAAGCACGCGAAGAAGCCTAGAATCCATACTTTCATTGCCACAAGTGAGATCCACATGAAGGCCAAGCTCAAAATGACCAAGGAGCAAGTGATGGAGAAGGCAACTAGCATGGTCAGTTACGCCCGGAGCCTGGGCTGCCCTGATGTTGAATTTAGCCCTGAAGATGCCGGCAGGTTAAATCATTTCATTTCCCTCCATATATTGTTGTCTATGGCCTTTTTGTACACAATGTACATGCCCTTTGTACAGTATCTGTTAATTCTCATGAGTCTGCAAAATATAGATTTTGTCGTGTCTGGATACAGCTAGGAAAAATACTCTGTAGTAGGATCTATAAGCTTCACATTATATTGATGCTTCAATATTTAATCTTTGGTAACCAGCTAGCTGTACCCTGTAGAATACTGATTTCTATGTTAAATTTGAGAAAACTTGGCTAAGTATTTATTTTTTATAGAAGTTTGTAATTGAATTTCAACACATATATTAGTTTATTTATTTATGTATTTTTCATGTGAGGGTGCATTGGCATTTTCTTTAGCTCTGATTTAGGAGTACTTTTATTGATTCCTTGCGGAACCAACAGGTACTCACGTACTGTGTCTATTGGCTATTCACTAGAGTTTCTTTCAGGCCATAACTGTGAAAATATTTAGGCGAGGCATTTCCTAAGGGAATGATTTTCAAACGTTCTTTTTCCTGTCCCCCCTCGCTGGCTTACTAAAGATGACTACTCCAGCCATTATTAGAGTGATCCAGAAAAATTCAGCCTCTCTTTGTTGGCACACTAACACCTCTTATATATTCTTTCGTTTTCAATACTTCAATAAGAGAGAAAATGGGTGCAAGAATTCACGTGTTCTAGAAATTCTTATACAGTCTCGTTCACTTATCTACGTGAAGAATTGCTCTTGCACTCATTAGAAGAGTACTGCATGTTTAGTGATTCTTTGGCGGACTTGTAGTGTCTATGGTCTACCTATGAGACCTAGAGTCCCAAAAGATATATTACATGTGATTCTTAGTTAATTTCAAGAAATGTAATGTGTAGTAGTGTCAAAAGAAGTGGCATCCTTTAGTAATGGTAATTGCAAACTGCTTCTATAACAAGCAACATGTACTAGCTAATCGTTTACAGTTCAAAAGATATTCTTAGAATTTTATTTGCTCTAAGGGCCTCATCTGGAATTATGTGTACCAAACAACTTTGTTCATGTTTAACATGTGTAGTCTTTTCAAGGTTTATGCCTTTTTTACATAACCTTCCACTCTTTCCAGATCTGATAGGGAGTTTCTTTATCAAATACTTGGAGAAGTTATCAGAGCTGGAGCAACAACCCTTAATATCCCCGATACCGTTGGTTATACAATTCCCTCAGAATTTGGACAGCTGATTGCTGATATAAAAGCCAACACCCCTGGAATTGAAAATGTTATCATTTCAACACACTGTCATAATGANTCATGTTTAACATGTGTAGTCTTTTCAAGGTTTATGCCTTTTTTACATAACCTTCCACTCTTTCCAGATCTGATAGGGAGTTTCTTTATCAAATACTTGGAGAAGTTATCAGAGCTGGAGCAACAACCCTTAATATCCCCGATACCGTTGGTTATACAATTCCCTCAGAATTTGGACAGCTGATTGCTGATATAAAAGCCAACACCCCTGGAATTGAAAATGTTATCATTTCAACACACTGTCATAATGACTTAGGGCTTGCGACAGCCAACACTTTAGCTGTATGTAGCCTTTTATCTTCATTGATGAAATCACATACAACTATACAAGTGAGTTCAATTGACCGTAATGTTGGAGCTCATTTTTTAGGGAGCATGTGCAGGTGCAAGACAGTTAGAAGTGACCATAAATGGCATTGGTGAGAGAGCTGGAAATGCTTCATTGGAGGAGGTAGGTAGCACCATAAATGGGTTTGAGCTGTAGTGACTAACAACCCCCTTGAGTTGGAGCACTTATATTGACATGCCCAACACGTTATAATGATATTCCACTCAAACCCCATTCAGTGTGTGGGAAAAAATAAATCCAATAGTTTCTTCCTGCCCCTCCACATATTGCAAACCATGCTTTTTGTACATTTTTTTTTACCAAAATGACATTTGACCACATATTGCTATCTCTCATTAGTAATTGTAAAAATATTTCTAGCTTTGTTAATTTGAAACATTTTGCCTTGTTGATACAATGCCAAGTTGTATGATGATATTTAGCCTTTATTTGCGTATTCATCCTGTTTGGTGATTTTAGACAGCCTTTGGGTTCTCTCTACTAAAGCTCACATAGTCGGAATATTTCTGTTTTTTAGGTTGTAATGGCTTTGAAATGTCGTGGCGAGCATGTGTTAGGTGGTCTTTATACCGGGACAAATACACAAAACATTATGATGACAAGCAAGATGGTATTAAACATATGATATCTTTATATAATATAAAAATAAGAAGATGATTATTTAATTTGTTTATTTGTTTCACATCTTGGTTATCACATGCTCTTCAGGTAGAAGAGTATACTGGTCTACATGTCCAGCCACATAAGGCCATCGTTGGCTCTAATGCATTTGCTCATGAAAGTGGCATCCATCAAGTTAGTGTTATTATCCAAACTATGAAATCAATGCATGATTTGCTTAGAACTGTACATTGCATTGTTCCCTCCTTTCTATTTCATTGATTCAACAGATGCTAATTCATTTTGCAACGTTTTGAAGAGAATCAGTATAAGATATTTAGCTAATAATCAGTGAGCCAGCATCAGAAAAGAAACAGATGAATATGTATTTTTGCCAGAATGCCAATTATATGATATTTGAAGCTTACCATAGTATATTACAACTCTCAAGGCTTTAAAAAGAGGAAGAAAAAAAGGGGTAACCATCTAGTCATTACCATGAATTTCGAAGGTTATGAATATTAATTGGGCAGTTTTCCATAAATAATGATTACATGTTTTGCAAATTTGTTCTATAGTTTTTAAAATGTGTTATTTTGCATCGCTATTGTTGAAAACTGGAAATTAAAAGTATATATTAATGAAGTGTAGAAATATAATAACTCTCTGTTCAGAAAACCTGGTTTTAACCCATCATGCCTCCATTAAATACTCCCTCCGCTACTAAATAAACTTTACTTTATGGTATACAAATATGATGTTTGATTACATTTATTTACAATCCAATTTGTTAATTTTGTTTGAATATTGGTGTAACAATAAACAGTAAAGTTTACTTATCCTCGCAATATTCTCAAGTATCTTGATATGGACTATAAGCTATGCTATGTAAGAGAAATGTTAATGATATTTTTATCCTTTAACAAAGTGAAACGGTTACTGTTTTGAACCACGTAATACTGTTTCTAACCACGGTTATGCATCTTTTATATATATCCCTTACCCTTTACTCATGGCGTCTATAAATAAAACTTAATCTGTATTCTTCTTTCTAGGATGGAATGCTAAAACACAAAAATACATATGAGATAATATCTCCACAGGATATCGGGCTTCGTCGGGAAAATGAATCTGGTATTGTCCTTGGGAAGCTCAGGTATTCTTTATTTTCTCCCTCAAATGATTGATTGCTTGTTCTCAATCCACTTTATGGGTGATAAGCAAATCCCCCTCCCCCAGAGTCGATCTTTGTGAATGTATGCGTTTGACGTTGTCTGTTTTTTTTCCATCATGGTTCTCTTATAAAAAGCTATTTTTGCTAATAATAGGCATGCAAAGACATTTGATTCTTCTACTCTTTCCAAATACTGCTTCATTATGCTGTATGGTCTTGATTTTCTGTGCAAATCATATGACAGTTAAATTCATTTACTCTTTAAGATTCCTACCATTTCCCTTTTTCTCGCCTGCAGCATTCTATATGATGACTCACATTTGATCTATTAACTTATTGAATATTCACATTTCACATTTCACAGTGGGCGCCATGCTTTGCAAGCGAAAATTATGGAGGTATATTGAATTGGCGTTTACCACAGGAGATCTTAATGTGTCCCCATTTTATTTCCTTGTGCATATAAAGTTTTAACTTTTATTTGTTTTACAGCTTGGTTATGAGATTGAAGGAAAGGAACTGGAGGACCTCTTTTGGCGTTTTAAATCTGTTGCTGAAATGAAAAAGGTGAATTGAAATCACTGATATTTATTGATCTTC